CAATTTTAAGATGAAACGTAACTGTCAAACTTTTTGAACATTGAAAAAACAGCAATTAAATATACATTTTCTCTATATCAGACCCACAAGGACGATTTTAACTTATTTTAGATAGCCGCACATATTAAAATACGCCAAGTTCATCATAACATTTTATAAGTTTCACTCGAATGTTAGTACACACTAGTCTTAATTTCTTGTAGTACTGGTGACTAACAAGGAGAGCTTTCTAAGTGCGGGTCACCGAATGCCCTGAAATTTTTTTTGGTGATCTCCTAGTACATGATGATGATCCCCCATACAGTTAGTTTGATCCAATGGACCCTATAACAATACTTTTACGCATGGTCAAGATTTGAATATTATTCAACGATAATAAATACCATATAATAGCCTATCATGGTATCAGGCTTAAAACAGTCAATTCCAACTGACTGAACAGCATTGTTACTTTGTGTTTTTCAAGTTTTTAAACAGTTATTCAAAAACTGTAGCTCAATTGGTATACTATGCAAGTATCAAAGAGCGAACCAATTTGAGTTAAAATTAAAGTACTTTACTATAAGTATTGATGCAAAAGATTGAATTAAAACTTTTATATTATTAAACTCACTGTTCCTTCTTTTTCATCCATTTTTGACACTTCATTGATTATATTTTAAGTTATTCTGGAAAAGAAAAAGAAGCATAACTGATTGTATCATCGCCAAATCACATTATTTATTTATCTTTATCATTTGCGACTTCCAGCATCATTGATGAGGTAATCTGGCACTTGAAATATAATCAATGAAGTGTCAAAAATGGATGAAAAAGAAGGAACAGTGAGTTTGATAATATAAAAGTTTTATTTGAATCTTTTGCATCAATACTTATAGTAAAGTACTTTAATTTTAGCTCAAATTGGTTCGCTCTTTGAGACTTGCATAGTATACCAATTGAGGTACAGTATTTATTTTTTGAATAAGTGTTTGAAAACTTGGAGAACACAAAGTAACAATGCTGTTCAGTCAGTTGGAATTGACTGTTTTAAGCCTGATACCATCATAGGCTATTATATGGTATTTATTATCGTTAAATAATATTCAAATCTTGACCATGCATAAGAGTATTGTTAAAGGGTCCATTGGATCAAACTAACTATATAGGGGATCATCATCATGTACTAGGAAATCACAAAAAAAATTTCAGGGCATTCGGTGACCCGAACTTGGAGAGCTCTCCTTGTAAGTGGATCATAAAACTCACTTTCCACATGAATATCTAAAATTTCACATTAGAAATTGAATTATATTACTCATATTTATTACATTTTTTTCCTCTCTATTATTTGACACTGAAGTTTTCATAGTAAATAAAACTAAAATGACTGAAAATATATCACTAATTCAACGAAATAATTGGTAACGAAACTTTTCAATTAGTTAAAAAACAATGGTATAATAATGTAATAATGTAATAATATAACAATGTAATAATTTAACCATCAATTACTAGTTTAGAAAAAGGTAACTGAATAAATCAATTATCGGTTACTAGTCAAGTAACTCGTAAATGGATATTTCAATTATCAGTTACTACTTGAAAAACTAGTAAGTGAACACTTCAAGTATGAATTACTATTTTAAAAAGTCACAACTTAATTATTCATTTGGCATTTACGTGATTAGTAGCAGATAGTTGAATAATTCAACTAGCAGTTACTAATGTAGTAATTGATAAAATTTGCAACACTGGTTCTTTCCCAGTTTATTTCCCCATTCCGCTAGTTGTTTCGTACTTCTGCTTCGACGCGTTCTGCAATGACAGTTAACTACGCGCAAATGAAACCAACCTAATTGCTCAGATAAACAAAATTATCAACAATAATAGAAGAAATGTTGATGTCTATGAATATCGCATGTCATTTAATCAAATTCATAATTTGCTAGAATCTCGAAAACATGCTGACTCTATTTTTGTGAAACAAACATTGCACTCACTCTGGCACCTTTTTTAGTTAGTTTACTGTGTCAGAGACATGTTTTTATAAATTTTACAAATATAAAGTTTGTAAATACAGTATTAAATTAAAGTTCAGTAGATGAGAATGGATGAGAAAGCCATGAATGAAATTTATGACAAGACCATTTAAATTAATATTTGGGATCAAGCGAGTTCTTAAAATAAACTTTGAATGTCTGAAAAGTAACTTGACACGGGGGTCCAAGCCGCTGGGCACACAAAAAAAATTTCACCTTTTTTTGTTAATAAAACGGCATTTTCTTTTGGGATTTGACTATATATACTTTTTACATACATTTTTTTGTGCTATGTTTATTTATTTTGTTGTGCATATATTGTTATATCACTAGAGTATATATCGTTTTGTGGCTAGGCAACGGTAGACACTTCGTCCTTGTTCTACTACACGAATTATTGTAAGAGTTACTCACATATTCATATCACTCAACTGAATGCTATTCCATACTATTTCTACTGAAACATTATTTATTAGACAGCATAACTCCGAGGAAGACTCAGTGAATATCAATGATAGTTTAAATGAATAACGTTCTTTTCGTTTTTTTACACAAAATCATGCTTGCAACTAAAGCAATTGACGATTGGCGCAAAATTAAGTTGAAAGGAAAATAATTTGAAGAAAAAGAAACTTATGATGATTTATATTACCTTAAAATTTAATTCTGTTTTTTGTTTATTTTGAATAATGAAAAACTTCTGTTCCTTTATTATTCCGTAGTTCAGATCATATATGTTTGAGAAAAATAGGATTATTGAATGGATCACGAAAGCAATACTAGTAAGGGGTAACACGGGGCTTAAAATGGAAAAAAATTTATTTCCTTTTCGAGTTATATTTTTTGGCTCTTTCCATTGCATTTTTCAAAATTCCAAAATTTTGACTATTTACTGAGATACAGCTGTTTCCGTGAGCCAATTTCGTACACTTTGCGTGTTAAATTTTTTCTTCTTTTGCGTTTTTGTGCAAAATGGGCCGTTGTTGTCGTAATATTCAGAGCGCAAACTCTTTATTAAGTCACCCTGCACAAACACTGAAGCACAATTTTTTTATTTTACGTTTTTTTTTGTGACTTCCTTCATGAATCTACTGATTGAAAGTGATCTATGAGTTCGATCACCTCCTCGAGGTTGTGACCATAACCATTTACGTTCTGAAGAAGTGTACGCTACCCTGGTGCCGTAATTCAATTGGTATGCTCTGAATATTACGACAACAGAGGTCCATTTTGCAAAAACGTAAAATGCCAGAAAACGCAAAAGAAGAAAAAATTTAACACGCAAAGTATACGAAATTGGCTCACGGACACAGCTGTATTTCAGTAAATAATCACAATTTTATTTTTTTCGATAAAATATAATTTTTTTCGATTTCAAGCTACTTGTTAGCCCTTAAACAAAATATCTGCAATGAACCAAAATAGTTTCAAATAGATTTATTAGTTAAATTAAAAAAACAAAAAAAAATACAAAAAGTGTATTTACTTGGTGGCGATCCCAAATGATAAACCACTAGTCGATCTTTTTTCAAAAATTTTCGGACTATAGACATATTTAATAAATAAAAATTGTTCGAAAACTAATGTTACAAAAGTTAAAGCTCTCACAAAGATGAAGCTTTCTAAATGGTTGAATTCACTTATTTACACGATAACCTGATCAAACTTTTTACTTTACACACTGGTGTAGGAACGGTTATCAACGCTAAGGTGTCGTGAAATCAAGTGTAAACAAGTCAAGCGCTTATTTAAAGATACAATTAAAAATGAATCACTAGTATTTGAGTAAAATCAAATTTTTTTGGTCTCAATGATATTCTTTTTTCATGTTTCATGCTTTGGCTTTGCTCGTACATCGAGGTAATTTATTTTAATGATAGATCACATGCGCGCTGGTATAATTTCTATGCAAGCCTATACGCGAAAAACAAGTATTTAGATTATAGTTCCAATTCCAGAGCCCATAGCTGAACTCTGTGAATCTATAGAAAATTAAGTCTGCCATTTACATACTTTATTCTGTTTTATTTTTTCTAAGTAACACAAACCACGATCTAAAAAATTTTAGACTAACACTTTTTTTTTCAAGTTGCATTCTTTAAAAAAAAAACTAAAAAAAAATAATTTCAGAAAAATTCCGAGCGAAATATTTCAAGTTTTAATCTTGTAAGGAAATTGCATAATTTCATATGTATTGCAGATTCTGAGTTGATTAAAAATTTGACAGCATAATTTAATTTATTCCCATAATTTTTCAGATAAAAGTTAAAATTTTGTTAATGAGTTTGTTTTAATCTAAAAAATTCAATCGAATTTGTAATAGTTTTTGATGTCGTCTGGCATTTTAGCATTTATCGAGACGTAAAAATTGCACAGCTGTTTAACATCAGTCTGATATTAATCAAAACCAAGTTTATCAACGCCGAGAGCTCTAGAAACACATAAATCATTACACGTGTGGAGCAATATCAATAAAATTTATTTACTGTGCTCGGCAAAGCGAATAACTTATTTTTTCACGTCTTGAAGTTGAATGGAAATCCAAACATTGCAGGATCACTCAGTTGTATGCTCGATAGAAACATTTTGTGTCATACGTGTTTTCAGTAATTTTCCCCGGAGTTTCAAAATTTTGTTTCTGTAAAATATTCCCTCGACCTGTCTCGGACTGAAACGACCCAAACATTGTATTTCTCTTGGAGGTTGTATAATCGATGTTAGAAAAAATAGACATTTTTATAAATCTTTTTTTATTATAAAACAATTTTTGAGTTATGTAAAATGATACGTTTTACATTTTATTATATTCATTAAAAAATGCATTAAAAAGAATTGATCGTTATTAAAAATAGAAATTAAAATACTTTCTTATAAGATCTAAAAGAAATATTTTGAAACAAACAAAATTGTTGACCATTTTAGTAAGCATCAAAACGTAATTTGAAATTTGGCTAAACTCTAATTCTTAATGTGTTATTTTTCCATTTTTTTGGTACTGGATGGCGAGCTCAAACGATTGGAGCAATATTGCCTTTATTTTCCAGTTGTTGAATTTTTTTCATTTTTTTATTGCCAGGTGTCATCCAAGTCATCAATGTAGCGACTGAAAAGAACAATTATTTTATTGTTACATTTATACATTTTTGACAAAATTGACGAAAAATTAAATAGCGATTCATTCAAACTTACTTAATAATTGAATGGACATTATGATAAAAAGAGAAGTACAAAAATTATCAATAAGGAAGCCAAATAAGACGTTTCCAGTAAATGACCCTACGCGGCCGATAAACTGAGTGATTCCAGTGGCTGTTACTCTGTTGAACATAATAATTTAAATAATTAATACATAAAATATCAAACGGTCAAATGAATTTTAAATAATCCGAAACTTACCTAAGATTCGTTGGGAATAATTCGACGATAAAACAGTATATTAAACTAATGTTCATAGCATTTAACGACTCAAATATTCCTGACAAGAACAAAGTCTCTGTTGTGTCGCTCACAAAGTACATGGCTACTGTTGTGATACATGCTATGAATGCCGTAATAACTGTTCCAAAAAGAGGAAAAATGCATTAAACTAGATTTCATCATTGCACAATTCAAATAAGACTAACAACAGAACAATGTGTTTACTTACACAAATATAGACGATAGCCCACGTAATCGATGGTAGGTGGAATGATTACTGCGCAAGGAAGCGAGGCAACTGCTAATATTACGGTGTTTAGGTATACGCTCGTATCGATTTCGGATTTACATTCGGTGACACTGGAATCTTCATGGATGTCATTGCTGAAGTCAGTTTGATTCTGAAGAAAAAACAGTTTGAATATTAAAAACTCATGTTCAGGGTATGAATGAATTAAAGTAAGAAAAAAGTTACTAACCACTATGGTTGTGTTTCCGGCCACTTGGCTGAACCAGCTCGAGACTTTGCAAAAGCTTTCGGTTTGGCCATTGTGAAAGTTGGTGTAGTCAGCCGATCTTTGGAATAATTCCGGGAACCATGTCATTAAAGCGTAATACGTCGAAGTTATACAGAACATGATGCAACTGACTGAGAAGAGCCTCTTGGCATATGGCGCTTTCACGAGTGTGTGCATTTGTTTTTTCGATGTGTGCAGGAGATTCTTCATCTTTTCTTTTCTTGCCTGCTGTTTCATCTTCCTCTCCTCTTTGGGATTGCATAGTTTGCTGATTTTTTCCTCGGCAAAGAGATCTTGAATCGCTGGTGAACCAATCGATAGTAATTCGGCCTAGCGTAAGAATATTCCAATTAGTTTTCATTTTTTTTTGTTTAAAAGGCAAGTTATTAAAAGAAGAATTGAGACTCGTACCTTGAAAGAGTCGTAAGAATTTCCGGTGTTTTCGTGGTAAATCATGTAGAGAACTGATAGTAATTTGACACTTTTACCATTCTCAGCGAGATACTTGGGAGTTTCTGGTATTGTTAAGATGTAAAGTGCGCTAAAGAAAGCAGGTAAAGTGCCTATCACTACGAATAATTTCCACGAGCCGAAAAACCAGTATGACAGCTTGAAGGATATTGGTAAAGGTATCACACCCCAGGCCAACACTAAAAATAAAGGAAATGTTTTCAGTCGTACCTACAAATTGATATTCATATGAAAAATATTGGAGCGAGGGAAAAATACTCACATGCAGCAACGAGTACTCCAACGACCCAGGCGAATTCCATCCACGAGAGCATTTTGTTTCTCTGTTTTTCAGGTTGAAATTCACCAAGGAACGTGAATATGACACAGATTTGTCCCGTTATGCTGACACCGGTGAAAAATTTCAAGACCACGAAGATCCAGTAATTCGATACCAACGCGCTCAATATTTCAAATAAGAATCCTGTGCACAAGGATAATAATAGAGCAGGTCTTCGTCCTCTAAGATCAGCAAAGAATCCCCAAAAAGTAGCACCAATGGCCATTCCTTTATAAAATTCGATAAATATTTTAATTGATGAAGACATTAAGTTATTTTTTAAACAAATAATAAAAAAAATGGAATCGTACCAAGCATAGGCGCAGAGGTGATGCGGCCCTTTTCAAGAGTTGTCATTTGAAAGTCGCAAATAGCTGCTGGTGGAATGAACCCAACGCCAGCGATGAAATTTCCACAGTTCAAGTAGATGAGCATTGACAGCAGCAATACTCTGATGTTGAATTTACCGAACCCTAAATTGCAAAAAAAGTATAATTCACTAAAGTGATTCACTACTATTTAAAATGTAGAGAGTTTTGAAAAAAAGCGAACACCTACCAGTTCTGTTAAGGGCGGTTTGAACCGTGTCCTCGTCCACGTACATTTCTAAAAATAATTAACAGTTTAGAAATAAATTAATAAAAAAGTGTTAAAAAGTGGTAACGATAAAATTATGGAGACTTTTTTTATAAAATCTTAAAAAAAAAAAAATTATCAAACAGATTTTTAAAATATAATCAATAAAAATTACCAAGCCACTTCTAATTTATAAAAAATTATTAAAAAATATACTCACTAGGACGATGATGTATAACGATGTATTCCCAATAAAATCTACAACACCTGCTCAATGTACACTAAGGTATGATGCAAGATGGTGTTTGCAACCTCAGTTACAATTGCTCCTACCTATCCAAACGATAACATCTGCAATTAAACAGACACATGCTGTTAAAACTTTCTTCATGTTAAAAAACAATTTATCTTCATTATCTTCAGTTTACATTCAATTATTAACTATTATTAAAAAACTATGCACGAATTAATGAATGAAAAAAAAACTTACACCTGACGGAACTAGTTCCTTAAATAATTAACACTATAATAAATCTAAATTAACCCGCGAAAGTGTTTCGTAAGTGCCGGAGACACGAACACTTATGTTAGCTAAAACCCGACTTAAGTACAACGCATGATGATACTAAAAAAAGTGAGAAATCGGCAACGTAATGCCTCTATTTATTGTGCTTGCGGATCGCTTCTAACGCCGCCTGACCCATTGTCTCTGTTTAATTTGAACTAAATTTCTTGATGCTCCCGCCTTGCCTCTTACGCTAAATAAACTCCGATCACCTGCGCGTAGAATATATTTTTTGGGGCTCTCGTTGTTTTGCGCATCGGCAGCTTTCGAGACTGTTACGCGTCAGACTTGATTTATTATTTCGATAACTTAATAAGGATTTTTAAACGTTTGGTACTGAATGGTTTTCGCCTTGAGAAGTATTACATATTTTTTAACACACGTCAAAATTAAAAAAAATTCCAACGCGTATTTAAGGTTACAATTATAAAATATTTATTCATGAGTCTAGCTAAAGGCCTACCTTTAATTATTTATCAAAAAGAGAGAAATTGATTTTTGAAAAAAAAAACTTTGGTATGATTCATAAAAAAAAGTTTGTCGCAACAAGGAATAAATAATAAAAAATATTTTCGTTTATTTCTCACTCTGAATCGTCGGGGAAAGTTCAGACTTATTATCTATCTATTGATTCATGACGAGTTTTCAAGCAATCTTAAACTTTAATTTTCAGAGAAATCAAGCAACAGCACGTGATCGTAAATGCTGATTAATTGTGCACTTGTATTAATAACCATCTAATAAAAAGTAATTTGAAAATCAACTTTTTGATTATGTTGAAGTATTTTCTAGTTAATAACTTAATTCATTACGTTCATACTGCAAGCTCTCTTCGCTTCTGGATTTATATATTGTAAAAAAAATTTTCATTACACCATCGTTCCATTTTCCAGTTTATTGTTACAACTTGCCAGTGGAGGTTGTTTAAACATGAATAAATCATTTGTAGCGTCTGATCGAGTGCATTAAACAATTAACAATAATTACATGCAAAATAATTTTCAAAAATTTATAAAATATAATTTTCAAAATTCAAATTTTAAGGAGACGCAATTGAAACTCAAGTGACTCGTGTAAAGCGTCAAACTTTTACGTCATTTTTGTTTGGACAGCTGGATTTTCAATAGTCATGTAAAGTTGTAGCGAAACAATAATAACTCACTATTACATAATGCTGAGCTAAATTAAAAATCACATAATTAGACAAAAGTCAATTTATATACACAAATTGTAAAAATCATCAATTAATGCAGCTATAAAAAAAATTGAGATATAAAACTTGTTATCAATCCGTCTGACCGGCCGGTGACTTAATCTACTTACGCAGCCGTTCTGAAAAATGACACAATCCTTTTCAAGGTATCGTAATTCGATTAACCTTTCGTCTCATCTCGACGCTCGAGTAAACTCAAACTTTTTATCATTGTTAGTTTAGTGGCACGAATTAAAGTTCAGATTCATGGCTTAAAAAAAGAAAACGAACTTTTAATGTAAACATAGCACATTTAATTTGAGTATAATAATTACGACAAACAAACTTAATAGTACATTTATTTTAATTTAAATACAACATTAATTAAAAATGTTCACAAAAATATAACGGGTTCTATTTGCATTCGGAATTCATCTATCACATTAATTTAAGTAATTTTAATTTTTATAAAAAATATGATAATTTTTCATTTCCTTAGTTTTGTCTTCGATCACTTATATTATTACAAGAAAACATATTCATTAAAATATATAATGCTGACGTAAATTTTAATGAGAGTTAGGAATAATATTAAAAATTGAGAATTCGAGGAATCACTATTTTTTTTCTTCTTAATACTTTGGCCTCTTGAAAAATCGATATACACTTAATAGCAGCCTTTTACGACGGGTCGTTAAAATCATTCTGAATTCGTCGCATCTTCCCTCGATTCGGCGTGGCCCAGCAAAGAGCCGCAGCGACTACAACAAAGCAAACAAAAAAAAAGAAGCGTAATTGAGAAGGTGCGTAATACGATATTTCTTTTTATTATTCTAATAATCTATAAGCAAACTCGATAAAGAAAAGAAGTTATCGGAATAGCGCGCGAGATCAAACAATCGAACGATCGCGCAATTAATGTTGACGCGCGCGCGTAGCGTGAACAAAACAAATTAAACATTAATAAAGCTTATAAACAAAGCCAAATAATAAGCGCGGGAAGAGAAAAAAATCGAATTCGCGTTTAATTCGGCTCGTATCATTTAATGCGTTTCAAAGTCGCAGACTCGACGCGCGCGCGACACGACTTCGTGACGTATACTAATAATAATAATAATAATTGTCGTCGTCGTCGAACAAGTGTGTGTACATTTAATCTGTGCATCGAGCGATATATGTATTGTATTTTCGGTTGGCCGCACCTCGTATCGTATCGTCGCTAACACCCGTGCGTGTACACGTGTTTGACACGACGAGTCGTCGTATTATATATATTATAATGTGTGCAACTTACGAAACAGTTGAGCCGCCATCACGATGATGAGTATGCTGCAGTACTCGTCGATGAGGTAGCCGAACAACATGTTTCCGAACAGAGAGCCCAGACGACCGAGGAATATGGTGATGGCTGTTGCCATTACTCTGTATTATTTAGTCATTGACCAAAAAAAGAAAGAAAGTGAAATGACGTTTTAATTACGCATTAACTTTCGTTCGTCGTAAACATTTTGGATGATGATGATGTTGATTATGTTATACGTCGAAAAAATTTCGGCAAACAAGGAAAATAGAGTGCGGTAAACACACGAGCATCAATTGTGCGTTACTCAATGTGCCTCGTTGCCTGTTTGATCAATAATTATACAATAATTGCAGAGGGAGAGAGAGAGCGCGAGCGCGACATGTTAATTTTATGAATGATGGGTTTTTGCGAGTTGCATTATTACAACTAATTGATCAATCCACGTTTTGCTCACCTAAGATTCGTGGGGAAAATCTCGACGAGTATGCAGAATATGACGCTTATGTTGATAGAGGTAAATGCTTCGAAGATGCAGGAGAGCACGAGATTCTGGGCGGAGGTTTTCACGAAGTAGAAGGCTATCGTGACGGCGCACGAGACCGTCGCAGTGAAAACTGTGAAAAAAATTGAATTGCATTACTTGACCTTTCTATGCATCTTTCAATTTTTAATTTATCCTTGGATGCGATTCTTGACACTCACGCAGGTAGACCTGATAGCCGATATAGTCGACCGTCAGCGGAAGTAGAATGGCACAAGGGAAACAGGCTACTCCGAGCCAGATTGAGTTCACGTAGACGCTCGTGTCGATCTCGGTGAAGCAGCCATATAGGTCAACGGTGTCGTTTATCTGGAAAAGCATGTGACCATTTATACATACAATTTCGATTTCGTCGGATTATGCACGCTCTCGTTGACTGTGAATTTTTAATTATTATTGCTGCTGCGTTCGTATCGTACAGTCGCAGCTTGGTCGGTAATCGGTAAAATAGAGTTTCTCGGCATTCACATGATTTTTTTTCTTGCGTAACCGAGAATCGAGTGAAATTGAAATACATTTTTTGCGGTGGACGATTGGAAAACCTACATTTACAGTGAGATTCGACGATACGTCCATTTTTTTGGAAACCGTGCAAACGCTAGCGAACTCGTCGGGATAGTTGGCCTCGAAGTAAGCGAATCTCTGGAACAGCTCGGGGAACCACGTCATCAAGGAGTAATACGTCGAGGTCATGCCGAACATGATGACGCCGACCGTCAGGAGTCTCGTGACGTAAGGCTTCCGCGCCAACATTTTCACCTGCGCCTTCGACGTGTCCACCAGATGATGGAACTTCTCGAGTTTGGTCAGGACTTTTTTCGAGGACGTGTCGGATTTGGCGGCGCTGCCGTTCTCGCTCATTGCTACCAGACAGCTGATCGACGGCAGACCGCAGGTCGCTAGTTTTTCCTGCAAAATTATTATACCTGTATTTTACCAAAAACAATTGCACTGATTTAATTTTGCAGTATCGAAAATGGCTCGCGCGATGCGTGTCTTATCTCCCGTGCGTTCAATATTGTCATTGCAAACATTACACGATGATTCAATGTAAAGTAGTATATTAAATGAACAAATTAAATTGACGAAAACATAAACACTGCATCACACAGAATACTCTGCCTCGTCATGAAATGTATTTTAATTTTATGAACCCAGTAAAAAATGTGTCTGCAGCGAATTTTGAGTTTTCTCGATTTACTGAATGAAACTGACTCTGAAATCCTCTGCAGTTTTTCCGGTATTCTCCACGAACATTCGCGTCAGTACTTTCAGCAGAATGTCCCTCTGTCCGGTCTCGGCGAGAAATTTCGGCGTCTCGGGCAGGGTGAGCAGCCACAGCCAGACGAAGAACGCCGGTAGAGAGCTCGTCAGCACGAAGAGATTCCACGAGCTGAACGTGAACACTCCCGCCTTGTAGGAGAAATCCAAGGGAATGACGGCCCATGCCAGAACTGCGAGTGAAAAATCATCGTTATTTTCAATCGATCGATATTATAATTCATGAGATTGAATTATAAAGTTTGAACGAACGAGCAACGATGATTACTCCGATGGCCCATGAGAATTCCATCCACGAGAGGATACGATGTCGGTACTTGGTCGGCTGAAATTCCCCGAGATAGGTGAAACTAATTGACAACTGTCCCGTAACACTGAAAAAAATTTATCATGTAACGAGAGCATGTGAAAATTCTCAAATCGTGTATCAAAGAATTTTTCTTTACCCCACGCCGCTGAGGAATTTCAAGAACACCAGGGCCCAGTAGCTCGGCACGAGCGACGACAAGGCGTCGGCGGCGAACTGCAGAAACAGCGCCAATAGCAGAGCCAGTCGTCGACCCTTGACGTCGGCCAAGAAACCCCATATACTCGAGCCAATTAGCATACCTTAAAACAAACGACATGCTTGTATTATTTGTTATCAAACAAATACGCGTCGAGTATGATAAAAATCGAGAAATTCGTGACAGTGCATCAATTACAAGAATTTTCTATATCGCCAATGATTTTGAACTCTCGACGTCGAGATATGCATCTCGTACTCGCGATCCCGCCGCCGATTATAATGCCTCGAGTCGATTTTTACTGCGCAGCTCAGACATATCTGCTCGGCACGCTCGCGCGAATGATTGCGGTGAAAATTGTGTGGCATCGATGATCATTGGGTAATTCACCGTACACTGACTGCGCGCGTAAATTAGACATTATCTCTTTGTCATTACGATCGCAGTGATCGAAAAAAATCTCTTCTAATGTGAAAAAACGTCTTCTCTTTCGTCACACAGCTGAATATAGGCGTGTTTAATACGAATATAATTGAGCAAAATGAAGGATTAAGTATTCGAAAAATGAAGTATATGTTACAGTAGAATTCACATGATTCATAAAATTCATGTGAATTCATGAGCTCATAAAATTCGAAATGCTCCATTGCTACCAGTCGATTTTCATTCAGTACAATGTTAAAAAATATTAAAATAAATTTGTTGAATAATGAGATTAGATCACTATTAATTTAACATTTTTTTAAATTTTCGATTGAAGAATAGAATCACTTTTAATAATAAACCATTGTAAGTATTTTCAAAGGCTTCGATTCTTACCTAGCAAAACGTCAAAAGATACCAAAGTTACCGCTAGATGGCGAGTTCCCGAATTCTCAAAAATCACAAGAGAAATAACAAAGTTCGAGGATAAACTAATTCCCACAGAAGCTTGAACGATTCTTTCGTTTAATTGAAATAATTTACATCATCCCAACTTTGTATTACGACCCCGTTAAGTATACAGATGTCGCGGTAACACTTATGAATCTGCGTTACCCTCTCATTGCCCAAGCTATTCATTTATCGCCCTTCTCTACAGATTCCATGCGCTCCGTTCATTATTGCTGACACTTACCCAGCATGGGAGCCGCGTTGATGCGTCCCTTGTCGATGGTCGTCAATTGAAAGTCGCAGGCGGCCGTGGTGATGACGAAGCCGATGCTCGTGATGCCGAAGGCGCAGTTGAGATACATCAGGGTCGACACGGCCACGACTTTGAAATTGAATCTGCCGAAGCCTGCGACGACGAGGTATATCGTTGATTCAGTATGCGAACGAAACACGAAATTATTTCTTTTTTGTGCCACCCCAACCTACAGTAACATTTTACTCCCGCTGAGCGAAATGAAAATGTTACTTTAGGCCGGGGGATTCACAAAAAATTGTATTTGCACCTACGTAGCGAAAAAAGAAAGTCTCAGAGCACGTAATTACCAGCCTCGGCTAATAAATTCTACGTGCTCTGAGCCTTTCCAGTTTTTCACTCCCTAGGTGCAAAATATACTAATTTATTTTTGTCCTTCGTCACTGACAACCAATTAAGGATTCTGCGTATGAAAAAATAATGTTTTATACGCGCGATTGCGCGCACACATACCTGTTTGCTCGACGGCATTCTGCGCTACGCTTTCTTCCAGATACATGACTGAAAAGAATAATCAAATTGGTTAATGGAACGGAAGAAAGTCGTCAAACATCGGGATCGATCGATATGTTATACTTTTCGGGCTAGTGCAAACACGCGACGCGTATAATTGAGAAATCGCACCGTTCGGCACTTGCTTGCGTGCAGAGTGCACAGCTTGCAACCGAGTGCAAAACGAAATCGAATTAAACAATGCGTCCAACAATACGATAAAATAGAATGAAAAACTCACTTATCTCGAGATGTCGAACCGACTGTCGTCAAAAGTGTATAGGCCTCTTAAAATCTTTGCCGTCGCACTACTGCACCAGGAAGCAGCAAATGCGTTTCAAGGGTCCAACCGATCGCCCCATCTCGATTGATTTATCGCACTTCTGCGATCTCCCTGAGTTTTCTACGGCAGCTGAGCCTCGATGCGTCTTATACTTATTTTTCAACAACAGAAGCAGCAGCAGCAGCAGCACGTCTGTCTCGATTCGAGTCAGGATCACGGATGCGCTTCGGTAGAGCACACACACACACACACACGCGCGTCGGCAAGCTGTAATTTACAATCTGCAATTATGAGAACAACATAGTCACTCGATAGAGAGGCGCAAGACGCCGACTCGTGCCGAGCTAATATAGCTTATAGACCTTATGTGTATGTGTACATAATGTTCACGCGCGCTTCAAAGCTGCGTGGCGAAAAAAGCCTTTCGATTAATATGAAAAAGTCAGTGTGAGAACAAACGAAACGATATATATAAATATCTCTATAAACACTTGTGTATCCGCGCGATCAAGACATTTGTCAATGCTCGTTTACTTTATTGATATTTATCGATGATCGCTTGTATATCAGACCATTTCAATTGTTAAGCAACGTTTATATTCTTTTCTTTTTACGATGCCATCGAGCTCTATATTGTATATGATGAATCTAGCCCGTACAAATGTCACGTGTAAATCATATATATTGCATATAATCTGAAAATTTCAATCGCGAGTTGGCTCTCTAGAGTATAATATACCACTACCGAATTAAATCATCTTTAACGTCAAATGGTGTACTAGAGACGGCTATTATGCTGTAAAGACGGAATATACACACGTTATAAGCGAAAAGTGTTATAGCTATGACGACGACGCGTGTGAACATGCACGATTTCAATCGTGCGCACGAACCATTGTATATTTACCGCGTAATTCTTCTTTGAACTCGGCTAATCGTACAATTTTTTTTTTCTATTCTTTTTTTTTTTTTTTTTTTTTGAAACATACANTTTTTTTTTTTTTTTTTTTTTTTTTGCTAATACTAGACTCACCGTTAACTTAAAAAGTCTTGGCCTACCGGTAGTCAGTCAGTGAAAGAGAGCAAGAGAGCCTCTTCAAGCGCGATAGATCTTCGCGATGCTTCTTCACTCGCGTCCGATTACAAATTGACTCCTCTTCTGCAACGCGTATCGCGAGCTGCGTATACGTGTATATAGGCTTGCCGATCCTGCGAGTCGATTGAGTTATATATTGTTGCCGATGCGCCAACGCCGTATTATATACGTACTTCTTCTTCTTCGTCTTCGATGCGTAGTATACGTCGAAGTATAAATTCGTGAGTACGGCGCAAGCTGTCAAGTTCCCCGACAGTGCGGCAGCAGCAGCGGCTCTGCTGTAATTCTTTTTTTTATTTTTCACTCAATAATTAGAATCTTTTTTATACTGTTTGTCACTTTTTTTTTTATTTTTTAACTAATAATAATGACGATGATGATGATGATAATAACGAACGATGCACGAGCCTCGGTTCATTGGCACAGATTCGCGTTTAAAAATATATTGCTGAATCCTCGATCTCTCTCGAAAGAAAGAGAGATGCAACGAGCGAAAGACAAAACGAAAACGAGTTTTTGATACTCGATCGGAGAGTGCACGTGACGACGCCGACTTGGCTCGTTACTTAGTTCGAACACTACTCTGCTGTAATTGATTTGAAATGATGCGCGCTCGAACTTTACAAGGCGCAATATATATATTATGAATTTATGCGCCGCGCTCGTTTCTCAAATCCAACACAGTCCTTCGCGCGCCGGAGAGCTGTATCAAGTTGTAAAGGCGCGAGGTGCGAGCGCGCGAGCCGACTCTATACTTGGAAGTATCGCGATATGAACGCGCGATAAAGTTTCGAGGAGAGACGCGCACGGGCACACGCGCCGTTTCCGGTATTTGCCCACACGTCGTCGTGTGCGCAGAGATGAAAAGCCTCGGGAAAATTTTCGTACGAGTGAAAATATAGAATGAAGATAAGGGAGGGAATTTTACTAGGTTACACGCGTGTCTGATTGAAAGAAAAAAAAAACAAACACACGATGGTCATAATTATAACAGAAAAATCGCTAAAAACCAGCCCCATAAATAGTTATACAGTAGACTCTCTCTAAGTCGAATTTCACGGGACATCAAAATTTTTCCAGCTTAGGGAGCTTTCTGAGTTAAGGGGCGTTCATATGAAAAAAATTCATATGAACAATAATTTTCATTGGTGGACAAAATGAGACATATTAAAACTTTATATTCTATTGCACTTTTTTTATACAATAAATAAATTTATTTTCTATTAAAAAAAGTCTGTTTTTTTTTTCATTTATTTTTTTCAATTATCAGATCGGCTTCATTTTCAAATTCAATAATTTTTGAAAAAATACATTGGGAGCAATTGTTCATTTCAAAAAAACCTTTCATATAATCGATTGCCTTTCTCAATTCTCTTGGTGTTTTCATTTCTACAATCAAATCGCTTTCATCGTCTTCGTCAGATTGTTGATCAACATCAAAATATCGTCTTTATATTGAATAATAGAGTATAGTGAGCTAAGAGCAATATTGAAATCTTTCGCCACATTTTTGTAATCTTTTTTATTTTTCTTTTCTATAGTTTAAATATTTTAAATTTTTCGGTTACGGTATGAGTTTTAATTACACGACACATTTTGAACGCTCGATAAAGCAAAATGTGTTTACTATTATGTAAAAACAAAATTGAAGACTCGTATTAAATTCAAATTTGAAAAATTTAATAGATCGGGGCCCAATTGAAAATTCCATCTTAGAGAGGCCTTTTTTTACTGCCTTAGGGAAGGGATACCGAAATTTTTCTAGCTCAGAGAGCATTCCGACTTAGGGGGACTCGACTTTGAGAGAGTCTATTGTATATATTTAAAATATTTCAAATGGTCGTCTTTTTTGGTCATTACTAATATTGAGCGCTTCTACTAAGGTATCCACCCCTACGAGAAATCGACTCGGAGCGTTCAAAATAGAAAAAGTTTCTTCTTATGTCTACTTGTGTACTTTAAAAGGGTGAAATATAATTTTTCGACCATAGCAGTTCACGTGATTTGACACACATTATATACAAACACCATCAACGAGCCGAGAATTTAATGCATTGCGCGCCTCGAGAACGATGCACCCGTCACAGTCCAGTCAATGTATCATAAGTTGATTGAACCGCGAGCCGAGAGGGAGAGAGAGAGGAGAGAGTCACGCGTATATATTACACATTATATACGTTGTCGTACACACACATCGCGGTGTATATTTATTTACCAGCTATACGAGCTGTAACGAGTATCGATCAATGATCATCATCATCTACAGATCGACAGTCGCGATGCGCAACAAGTATGTAATTTCCCATGTTCGTTGGTATATTACGCTCGAGACGAAATATATATATAGCGATTACAAAGATTTTGTTTTTGTTGCGTAGTAGATTTGAAGAAAAGCTCGAAAACTTGAATCATTTATTGCTTCTTCCCTCGTGTCTAAAATTTATATTAATTCGCAACGAATTTATTTATCAAATAATCGTTGAATAAATAGATGTTTACTTTCGTCGCGGCTGACTCACTATTGTTCCACCGATAGACAGGATTTAATCGTAACTTTTGGGGTTTGCTAGCGATCTTGATAAAATTATAAATAAAATGAACAATCAATACAAACGCGAGCGTCGTCGTCATCGCGGATAAGATACCGCCGCGAAGCAGAAATATAATACGCTATTTGAAGATCACAAAACGAGACGTCCTTTCGCGCTTGTCACTCCGCAAAGCACGTGCGTTAATGATCGCCCCGAATAACGTATACCTTCTTTCGCGGTCTCTTTGATAAAATATTCGCGTGTTAAAGAAAAAGTAAGAGAGATAATTTACCCGAGGTTGAACGCGAAAACTCCGCGAACGATATACTTTCAATTTCAGTCCATAAAATCGCAGTAGTAAACTTCGACTTACAGCTTGCTTATGTAGGCCGATGCCACTCATTCGCGCGCGAGCTTTTATTGCTCGGCGACAAATAGACAGAGCCCCCGGAGAAAATAACTTTCATTCTTTCTCTTTAGTAAATCTATACATACGAATAGTCCGAAAGATACTAAATTTGTATTTTTTTCTGTCATTCGGGAACCTAAAGGGAGTCTTAAAAAACAGAAAAAAAAACAATAGCCGATAAAAATTATGGAAGTAAACAAATCTCGCGCTCGGGATCGCAGCTTATAACGTGGCATCGAATTGTCGTCAAGGCACGACTAGACTGTCAATATATTAAATGATTAGTCCTTCGTAGACTTCACGTGATTATACTCTCGGTTAAGCAGGTCATTCTGCAATCAAAAGCTTATAATAATTTCTAGAAAGGTTCGGTGGAACTTTTACTCGCGTCACTTACTTTTCTCGGGACTTAATTAATTTTAGACGGTCTTACGAATAAAAGTGAATTTTTGTTGAAAAAAACGCTGATTTGATGTAAAATCAGATATTAAACCTGCGGGTAATTTTAAAAATGCACACACATTACTTTAAAAATGAACGAAAATAATTTAATTCTATACTCAAATTTTGACATTATTATTGAAAATTTATGTTTTAACTATCATTTAGTTTCTGCTTTAAATTGCTCCATAAAATTTACAAAAATTCAATTACAATTAAATCTACACTGAGAGAAGAATTTCTTAACAGTTAAGAAATATCTTTATAGTTAGAATATACAAGGTTCGGCACTACTATAAATGTTATATTCTAACTATTAATATACCAAGAAATTAACTATTAAAATACATAATGTCACGAGATATTTCTATGGTAACGAAAACAATTAAATGAAAAATAGATTTTTTTTATATATTAAAATGAAAATTCAATTCCGGCCCCTGTGTGGAAAAAAAATGAAGGAAAAGTGTATGAAAAAAAAGTGCAGGAAAAGTGTGTCGATAGATTTGGAGATGCACTTATGCTACACTTTTTTCTCGCATTGATAATCGAAAAATTCTACGATTACTTCGAGGATGTCGACTCGTTCATGCTCGATTGGTGCACCACGCCATGGTAGTCGAGGGCCAGGACGGAATATTGCCCTAGAGGACGATTTCCTCGAGGAAGTCGACCGGGTTTTACCCGTTCAGAGCACCACGTCACGTTAGACGTGTACCAGGTGGAAACCTTGTACTCTTGGTCGACTTTCTCGAGGAAATCGTCCGAAAGTACAAGATTTACAGCTGGTTCACGTCTAGAGTGACGTGGTGTCTTGAATAGGTAAAACCCAGTCGACTTCCCCGAGGAAGTCGTTCAAAAGTACAAGATTTTCACTTGGTTCGTGACTAGCGTGACGTGGTGCTCTGACCGGGTAATACCCGGTCGACTTCCTCGAGAAAATCGTCCTCAAGAGCAATATTCCGTCCTGGCTCTCGACTACCATGGCATGGTGCACCAATGGCGAGTGTGGAAGAATATGTCCATTCGCACATATCTCATTGTTAAACTCGTAAGGTAACTATTAATATATGAATCTTAAATGTAAAAATATCGCGGTCCCAAAATTCAACTACGTGCTGCCTATTAACTGTTAAGAAATTCTTCTCTCAGTGTAGATCCACCACTAGATGGCGAGTGCCTTGAATTGTAATTCTGCAAGTGGCAAAGTCAAAATAATTGTATAATTCACAGCATGGTTTAGAAAAATATGGAAACTGTTCAACTCGTAGTGTAACGATTGCATCGAACGATCTAGCCGTTAGCCAGTGCAATTTTTCGACGCGCTCAACGCGCCTGTATATATTAATAAACGCGTGAAAAACCAGTTGTTGCACAAGCGTTGTTTTGATAATGAGCCTCGGCGCGTCCAACGATTGAGATCCGCAACGATATCACGTGTTTTTTTCATTTCGCTTTTTGCGATTTACGATTCAAATTTAATTTGCAAATAATATATATAAATAGCAATTCGAGCGGCACGAGCGTTAAGTTAAATCAATATACGTTCATAATATCGAGCTTCTCTTTTTTCAATGACGGGTGCGTAATAGCGTCGAGACACACGATGGTAAATCCTTTCCTTTTTTTTCATTCCGCGTTCGACCCTTCCATCTGTGTTTGCTCGACGATACAGCAGCAGAAGCAGCATCCCGAGATTGGGATCGTACCTCGCCGATAAATTTTCATCACAAACTTCATTTTCAATTTAAAACAGAGAGATAGAGAGAGAGAGAGAACAACGCCGACTGTACTTTTTATATGCAGATTGACTTTATTGCTATACAAAAAAAGGCTTATTTATCGAAGATTTTTTGTGAATTCTTATGTAGTATTGATTAATGCTTCATTGAAAAATTGTTATACTTTAATTAATAATAGCTAAACATAATTCGTATGATTTACATTAGTAATCGATACTTTGCGCAATGTTAACAATAATATAATTTTTTTTTGTGTGAATGAAATTTCGAAGGAATAAAATTTTCACTCTTAAACTATAACTATATTTAATGCACACATTCAAATTGACTTCATCAATGAACGAACAAAAAAAAATTGTTAAAGCTCGATCGATTGCTTCTCAGTCACATACGGCGATTTTACCTTCACACTTAACTCATACACATACACACACATACTCACAACTCATTTAATGCACATAGACAAAATCAGCGCGCGTCTTAACAGGCGATTTCGGATGGATCGCCATTGGATTTATGTTCGTTTTTTTTCTTTTTTTTTGCTCTTAAGCGGATGAAAGTTGCATCGAGCGCAGAGAAAGAGAGAGACAGAGAGTTGAGTCGTATTATACACGTATCTATCGGGTGAAATAAGAGAGTGAGAAATTGTACATTGGTGTAGATATATACGTGTAGCAGCAGCATAACGAAGCCGTCATACATAGAGCCCCAAGGCCGAGGCCTACTTTTGTACGACTTCCCGTTGATGCAATGTCCCTTTTACTCTTTTCTACTTTACAGCTATACACACTCACACACACACACACACACACACACACACACACACACACACACACACACACACACATACATTTAGGCGATCTAAGCACACGAGTTATATAGATTCAATTTTTCTCCCTATTCTATATACTCGGTTACTTATTCAGTTTTCAGCATCAAGGCACTCGATCGAATCACAAATTTTGATATACACTTCTACTAAAAAATTGTTACGCTCTACATTAATGTCACGTTACGTCGTAAAATCTACAAGTTAACATTCACTAGATAAAGATTGTCTATATGTACAAATGTATAATTTCACTCGTACATCGTGCACATTCGATGCAATCCAACGTCATTCAAAAATTCTCATTATATTCTCCGCTATACAAAAGTATTGTCGCTTTTACTTCGAAAAAAGTCAAAAAAAGTATTCTAAAAAAAACCTCAACAATTTTCTACATAATATTTTATGTTTCGTTGTAAACAGTTCACCATTAACGATATAATTATTGTTCGATCCATGCAACCAAACAGCCTCTCACGTTTAAAAACTATAGTCTTACTTGTTGGTACAATTGAAAAAACATATTTACGTATAGAATATTAGGCCCGCTATCGATATCAATTGATTCGTTTTTGAAGTTCGTGGAGTATTATAAGTATTATAATCGACCTATAGATAAGGCAATATGTAAAAATCCCCCAGTTGAGATTACGCTCATGGAAATTCTCCGATTTTTGATGTAAATTAATCTTGGCTTTTTCATATATTGTCAGACTTTGCTGTCCTCCCGTGACTGCTGCCGCTGTAGCCTCGCGTTATCCACCCCCACGACCTGAGGACTATCTTCAATCGGAAGACCCTGATAGACGTTGGCGGATTTTCGCGCGTCCTGACGCCTCTGCTCGTCCTTGGTCACGAGGGTCATGATCAGACCGACGAAGAGCGCCGAGCAGAATATCACGTGGACCGGCACGTCGCTGTAGTGCTCGAGCACTATCTCGAGAATGAGAATGAGAACGATGCCGTAGATGTTGTTGGCGATGTTGAGCATGCCGGCCGAGTGGGCCTCGGATTCGGGGTAGGTGTACTCGGCTGCAAGCTCGTAACCCAGGGCCAGGTAGCCCGACATGAAGAAGCTGCGATGGACGAAGATCGAACGTTTGTTTTTTATTCGGTAGGTTCAAAAATATGGTGGTGAATTTGTACTTACCCAAGGAATATCGAGGATGTGTAAACCATCCACTTGATTTCTAGAAACATGGCGACGGCGAAAAATATCTGTCCGCACAGCGTCAAAAAGTAGACGGCTACCGTAGTTTCTCTGTGTTTTTTTTTTTTGTCAAAAAAATTGTAAATTGTGATGTGTGTAGTTTTAAAAGCTATTTATGTGCAATTAATTTTTAAGCTTACTTGAATTTATGCGTTCTATCGAGTATTACGCCAAAAGTCACAGATCCAAACATGCCCGTGAGGACGATCATCAATCCGATCCTTCCGGCGTCTTCTTCTCCGTTCTTGAAGTGCATGAGAAACAACGGATTGAGCAGAGTACTCAGGGCATTGAAGATGCCGACGTTGATGCCGTAAGAATTGCAAAGAATGAGAAAACTCTTATTGGTGAACAGTCTTTTCATGGGTTTCATAAATCCCTCCTTATTTTGGCTCTGACTAGATTTTTGAATGGCTATGGTGGCGTTGGGAGGCAGCTTCGGCTCTTCCTCGAAAACTGCGATCGCACAAAATTTTTTACGATAGTTTTGTTGCTGTACCTTGACCATAAGGGCAAAAATCATACGTCGTACTCACACATGGACATGAGAACCAAACTGACCGTGGACGCTCCGGCTATCCACCAGAACATGTAGGCGAGATCCGGGCCGATGTCGTCGACCTCCACGTGATTCTTCACGATGATCGGCGGCAGGAGAAACGACAGCGACACCCCCAGCTGAGGTCCGAAGATGCCCAGCGACGTCGCCGTCGCGAGCTCGTCGCTGGCGAACCATTTGGCCGCGACTCGCCCCGGTAATATCAACATTATTACCTACAGCGATACGTGCGTTGTGTCGATTATGCAGTGCTTGCAAGTCGAGAGGTGAATTAATTTTTTTATTACCAACGACACGGCGATGATGGACTGGCCGAAGAGGGTCATGTAGAAGCCGTCGCGCGTCACCGAGAATATCTTGATCCAGGAGCCGAGACAGCAGAGAGCGCTGCCCGCGACGAGCGACCATCTCAGGCCGATGCGCTCCGAGAGAAAAGTCACCGGAAATATGAATATCTCGTAAAACAGCATGAATATCATCGAGGTACAGTCGACGGCGAAACCTCCCACATCGTAGTATCTGTGTGACGATATTGGAAATGTATGAAATTAAAAAGAACCGTACTCGACACTTGCAACAACATAATCTCCCCCTCCTAAACTCCAAACTTATTGACGCTTTTACATCGTGTGCTTTGCGGTCAATTCTCTCACCTCTGTACAATGTTGGATATGATCGAGTACTCGATCCATTGGCCGGCGACGATGGCGGCGTAGAAGATGTAGAGCGACAGCATGAGCCACCTCCTCTTGTAAACCTTGATGATGATTTCCGGGTTATCCTCTTTCTTGGCTTCATCTTGTTGCTGTTGTTGGCCGTTGCAGCCGTTGTTGTGTTGTTGTTCCGTTGACGAATTGTCGATAGCAGTGTTTAATTGCTGCTGATGCTGCGGCGAGCCATTATTGTTATTGGCCGCTGCTACTACTTTCACCGAATTGCCGATCGTCAGACGCTCGCTCGAGTCTTCCCTCATTGTGTTGGCAAAGGCCGGGGCTCTTTATTCACTGGTGCAGTCGTACGCCAACGACGAGCATCTATCGAAGACACAATTTTAAAATCGCACACAGATCGTCAAAGAGTCAAGATCGCAAGGAGCGGAACAATTCCTATATATTGCGGCACGTCGAGCCGAGCGAGAGATGATAATACAATAACGGTATACGTATAATCACGAGACTCTCTTGGGGCCTCGATGGATCGGGATAGATAAAAGATTATATATTTACTAGGATTTTATTGTCCAAGTGCACACAAGCGACTTGTCTCGCGACATTGAGACGTATAATATTAACGATCGCGACTGATCCCTCTCGTCTTGATCCGCGCGCCCGCATCGAGAGATAATAATTATAAATGCGGTGCACTGATATTTGAATGCGATTTTTCTCTCCGCGCGATCCGTCTTTCCTTCATTCGAGCGTGAAAACAACGGGAGACAAGTCACGATCTTTTATTGATGTGGATGCACCTGTCGTCGACGTTCGCACGATGTGCACTATAACACCAGCGACGACGACGACGACGACGACGACGACGAAAGATAAACACAACCGATTAGTAATGTACGCACGGGTAAAAACATGGAAGTACCAATCGGTTCGTCATTACAAAAATTTACCTTGAGATAAACTTGTTGGCGATCGTGTGTTATTACGTGTTTATGTATATTGTATGCGTTTGCGAGAGGGAGTACGAGAGAGAGTGAACGAAAAAATTCGATTGTCGATTACTTTGTTTAACCATGCACGCGGGTCGATTTTAAAAATATAACAATGTGTGTTTAATTGCGAGATAAAATAGGAAATTTTATATTACTTGTGTGTACAAGAGGCGGATGAAATTGATCGAGGATGAGTTTAACTTTTAGCCGCGTTGCATTTGATTTATTGATACGGAATTTATACAACATAATATAATACAATAAAATAAAATGACCGCAATATATAATATCACAGATGATCAACGAATATATTTCGTAGAATCGGAGGATTATGCCGCGCGTACAGTGCGTGTGTGTAAATGTTGCACAATATATAAGTCGTTCGGTGCAATTAATCTCGTAACAGTACAGCTCGACGAATGTATTTTCCAACGTCGAGGTAAATATCATTCAATTGAAAAGGAGAGAGAAAAATATATAAAAGCGAACAATTACTGCTCCAAGTGTCGCGTTTACGCGAACGCAGTTTAACGGCAGCAGCAGCAGCAGCAGCCCGGATGAAGCAGTTTACTTTTACTTAAAACTCAAGCGCAATTCTAGATCTCTACGCGTAAATTTGTTGGTTTTTTCGCAATCTCGAGGAAAGATACTACGTCGCGTAAAATACAGCAGCCCCGTAAATTACAACGGAAGCGGCAGAAGCGAGAAAAAAATAAAAATAAATAGCAGTTACGAGGAAGGAAGCAAGCGAATCTATATTTTTGCATAATTAGTAATTCTATTTTTCTCACCGAACATGGCCACCCGACGTTTTTTTCTTCTTTCAACACTTTGCAGTGGCCCCCGTCGTCGTCGTCGTCGTCGTCGTCGCTACCACCCGCGGTTAGTGTGCAGTACACTGCGGTACGCGATGCATTTACCGTGTATATCTGCGCTCGCGCGCGAACGAACGGACAGACCGACTCGTGTCACCCGGCTGAGCGTACCGATCGAAATAGGCTAACACCGGTCATTTTCAGCTCTCTTTACGCTCGCGCGGCTCGCCTACGTATAAAATAGCGCGACGCGTGGATAGCAGTAGCAGCTCGCTACAGCAGCATTAGCAGCAGCAGCAGCAGCATGACATAAAACGAAAAAGAAGGAAAAAAAGAAAAGAGAAACGACGATCGGTTTTATCGCGAAGCGCGCGCGCGCTTGCGAACGCGCGTGGGGGTGGTAAGGCGGGGAAGGGGGTGGTAGGTAGCTATACACAGTAATATATAACACGGATTTTCCTCGGGTGCGCTTTACTACCCTCTCTCTCTCTCTCATTCCGAGCGAGACTCTCTCTCGCCGAGAGGGATGATGATGATGATGAGCCACCTACCTACCTCTGCAGGGGGTCTAGCTCTATACACAGCAAACGCAGGAGAGTCAGTCGAGCGCTGGACGTGGCACACGGCAATTGTGCGACGATATCGCCACGCGTCGTTGTCGGCCGACTTTCGCGAGCGTCGTTGTATACGTATCGCCGCGACCTTCGCCGTACGGCAGAGGCTTCTTCATCTTTCGACAGCCTTTCTGCTTTCTCTCTGCACGTTCGCATTCGTTTTTCCCCTCTCGTTCGCACGCTCCGACGCTTTTCCGGCTCTCCGGGTAAGTGTTTGAATGTACTTTAATTACCATCCCTATGTGCAATTACCAATAAATACGCATTCACGCGCTCACACGTGCGTCACTACGGGCAAAAAAATCGGCTGGAATCGTTCGATTTTTCCATCTCAGTAAAAGTGTTATCAAAAATTAATTTTTTATACGTACGTACCGCACAAAGTGTAAATCGACGTGCACATTTTGTGAACTAGCGAACTGTGCACGCGTGTCGTCTTCGTCCAGTGAAAATACCCGACTCGCGAAGTATAGTATTTTGCTAAAACAATTTCGTTTGTCAAATAAATTGGATTAACTTTGGACATGCTAGCTTTACGATGCACACGCACACACACACACATATAAATACATTTTATTTCAATTGAGTAACGTCGCTTATACGGTAGGCATATAATTTTCACTTGACAGCTGTCACGCTTGCTCGATCTGTAATTCCCCTCCCCCCTCGTTCAATTATATACAACGATAACGTGTTCGTCGTCTCGTTGCAATCATTCGATGTATCGGCCGCGTGAAAATTTTTACTCATCATCGCGATGTGTAAACTAACTCTCGAATCAATTCGGTGTAGGTACCTCGAGGTGTAAGAGGATTTAGCGACAAAAGGTTGATCGTCGTGTGTAGAAGCTCATAATACGGGTGCAACGTGTATACGATATATAAAAGAATCAATGTACGAGATCTTTTCTCCGAAGGCGCCCGCGAGAACTTTGGAGGTTTCCAGCGAAGCTAATGCCAAGCGCGAAACGATGCGAAAGTAGTGAAATTCTTATATAAAATGGCAATGTCTCGCTATGTACATGTAACGGGCGAGTGAGCAAACTATACATAATGCATAACGAGGCTGACATTTTATCAACTATTGGCATACTCGGGTACTTGAAAAAAAATTATAATTTAGAATTGTAAAATGTCGGCTAATGGAAGCAAAATAGAATATTGAAACGAACTCAACCAACGCTAAAATTTATTACTTTTTTAAGTATCAATTAGTTAATGGTATAGATAAAAAAAAAATTATTTTTTCAGAACGAGTTGTAATGAAAAGGAAACCGCATCGACCATGTCTTCGGTCTACCTCGATACTCGCTTAACTGCAAATCGACCGCTACGGTGCACTACGATCGGATCGAGCTCTGATCAAACAATCAATTTATATTTACTATCCTCGCCCGCTGCTGATGGGCTCCTCGTGCTGCAGAGGAAAAAGTAGTTTTGAGTGAGAAAAAAGGGTGCGCGCCCGGTGTGGAGAAACGAGAAACTCTCTATAACAATTAAGGAAACAATAAGAAGATAGAAGTAAAAGAAGAAGCTTAACGGTGTGTGATTGTGAGTGTGTGTGTGTGTGTGTGTAAGTGTGTGTGGACAATGGCGGACAAATTGCACGAGTACCAGGGCATCGGTGGCCGAGTGCACGGGGTGCGCGACAAAGCCAAAGAGAAATGGGACGACTTCAAGCAGTGGAAGGACCAGATACCGACGGATCGCGGCTTGGAGGGCGTCATCACGCATCTGCGTGGGCCTCCCAAGCTCGAGCGATCTTTGGAGGACTATGCACACATCTATAGGTATTGTTAGAATTATAAATAAAAAATTATAATTAAAGTATGATAAAAAAAAAAAAAATATATACGAACGTCGCTCGACACAGTTGACTATGGCTACACGCCTAGCGCTTGAAAAGTTTCAGGAAACGACACTACCCGAAGGCTAAACTGCGCGAGTTTTTTAGCCTCATAAAGATCCGAACTCTCGCATAAACTCGCTGCCTAATAATTAGCTAATAATCAGCGGTGCGCGCATTATTAGGCTCACGCGCGCACACAAAGATATACGGCAGCGCATTTAATATATATTGCACGCAATTTACCTGATAACATTCTTTTCTAAATAGGAGCTTAGGAAGGCGGCGCGACATCGCCACTAGTTATTAATCTCTGCCTGCGTTTGGCATTGCGAATGCAGCAGCAGCAGCAGCAGCAGCGTGAGTGTTAATGTGTGCGTAACGCGATCTACATAATTGTAAAGAGCCTCGCGGCTTATTACGATGTATACTCAGAGATAAAACATTTATATCTCGGCACGCCGTAAGTCTGGTTAGTGGTGGTAATAGCGTATAGTAGTCTTAGTGTCATTACGAGAGTCAAGATCGGGGAAAAACTGCGATCATCGGAGTCGATGATCATTTTTCACATGTCCGATCGGACATCATTTGACGGACGTGTGTTTGTAAATTTTGTCAGGAGAGTCGCGGCTACGGGCGATATCGTAGACAATCCGAGTCGCGGAATTCGTATCGCTTTTATTGGAGTAGAGATAGTGTGAGAAAATTGCCAGAGTGCAAAAAGTCCGTCCGTTTCGTTTCAATATTAAATACTGTACATTAGAATCGTATCATGGCTCTGAGGTATTTACCCATAATATAGTTACGTAAATTTAATGTACACTTGTAGCAATTATATGCGTGTGTATGGTGTTTGAACGAGTGAATTTGCATACCGCATGATCGGAAGCTCAAGGCGAGATGCGTGTATCACATATGTATCATTAAGTACACACACGGCTGGTCGATAACAAAATTGCTGATTTGTTATCGACGAAAAATCTTTTTCTTTTGATTTTTTTTATCGTCGGATGGAGGTGTTACGCGTAACGATTTTCATTATTATCTTTTGAGCAAGTGGATGAATGAGATTTATTTTGTGTTATAGTTAGTAGAAGAGAATTGATCAGGTTCGAATGCAATAAAATGTGAACGGCACACGTTTTACTTTCAAATATTCTCGTGGTGGTGGTGGCTATTTTACGGGAATGCGGATGTCGTTGATTTCTCTATCACTCGACTAAAAGAATGCGAATTCGCAATACTAACAATTAAGGTAGTTTACTTACTCGAAAAATGCTGTATCCAATAAAAAAGAGAAGCAAGGAAATCTCTTCGCAGTTTTTTTTTTGTTCTCGTAACTCAGCTTCTCTTATACACTTACGCACATAGACACACGATGTATATTTTCCCACAAAATATAACAACGAAGCTCGAAAAGTGAAGAAGAAGAACAAGAAAAACGAAGAGAAAAACGTAACGCGGCGCGCGTGATGCGTTGTCTATATGCTCGCGGTTAAACTTGACTTTTCAAACTTGACATTATTTTGAGGACTCGTTTATAATACTCTATAATGGCGCGCGCGAATCGATTAGTTAATGCGCGACTGACACTGACCGCATCGTGATTAAAGCGCGCCAATATATATAATAATAATAATAAGGCGCAGCGGCATGCATAATTTGTGTGCTGCTGCAGCTACTGCACTATGCACACACACGCACACACATGTAACGATATTATGTAGAGCTGAGCGAGAGGAAAAATCAGAGTTGGTAGTAGAGAAGCTGAGAGTTGAGGAGTTGTTTGGCGTGTATACATATATGATTTTTCGAAAAGCTATGTAATGAAATGCGGGTATGCGAATGACAACGGTCATATAATGTAATGTAAAAACACAATAGAAAGGCTGTCTTTATCTCAAACTAAAACTCACTTTCTATTTAAAAGGCGCGCTTTTTACGCGCACTAAAACTAATGCCGCGCGAAACCTTCGTTATTATTGTGCACGCGCAGAAAAAAAAAGATAAATAAATTGAAAATATTAAAAAATGAAAAACGACGGGTCACGATAGTTTATCACATCGCATAATTTGACATGTCTAATGTAGTACACAACTTATAATGGGACTTGATAATGTAGGAAAAAAACAAGATGGGAGCTCGTGCGCGTCTCGGCGGCGGTGATGGGCATCGAGTTCTCGTACGCCGCCGAGACGGCCTTCGTGTCGCCGACGCTGCTGAAAATCGGCGTCGATCATCAGCACATGACCCTGGTCTGGGCGCTCAGCCCGCTGGTGGGCTTCTTCGTGACCCCGCTGCTGGGCAGCCTGAGCGATCGCTGCCGCCTCAAGCAGGGTCGTCGCCGACCCTTCATCGCACTCTTGGCCATCGGCGTGCTCATGGGTAAAAAAATATTCGAGATGTATCGTACACGAGATAGTAGTTGACTGAGCATCTAAAACAAACGGTGTATTTTTAAGCCGCGTCGATTAAATTTTAAAGATTGCGATGAGCTAGACAAAAATATCGAAGAATATAAAAGACTTAGAATTATAACCAAATTCACGAGTCCTGCTTTTATTGTGTTTAGAAAACGACGGCATACCTAGAACGATAGTAGATTACCAATTGGTAAAAATGCAAACGATTCGGCAAAAAAATTATAGTGTTTCAAGCTCAAAATTCATATATTTTTTTCACGTACTATTATGAATTTTGGGTAAAGTACTTTCGCCGAAAATAAAACGTGTATGAATACCGCAATTTGAGATACGATGAAAAAGGCTGAACGTGATTATAAAGTATTGAGTCCCCCAACGAGCGCATCATCACAAAAGGATTAATTATTCTTCGTTTATACTAATTAATTATTTTTTGTTTGTCCCAATTAACTTTTTTTGCTTGTTGATGGATTGACATATATTTTATGTCTAAATTTCTGGAAAATTCGTAGTAAAATATTCTTCAAATATTCTTGCAAACTATCTGTGAGTTTTCGGAGTTTTTATAAATTATTTTGCATAATTTTCGTTTTTTTTCCTGCGAGAACGTCTTAATAAAATTACGAAGCATGCAGATTTTTCGATACTGAATTTTAATAAATTATAAACAAATATTGAACGAATCAAAATATTTTATAACAATTCATTTAATGAACGGATACGCTTTCGATTACCATAAACGAAAGTTACTAAATATAAAACGGCTTTTATAACAGAAAAACTAACCGGGAAATTCGAACTAGCAGTGGTTATGCTAAACGTACGGATAAGATACCAACAGTTGCGCTTAAAAAGCAAATAACATTCACATTTTTCAACAATCGCACAGGTTTAATTCTGGTGCCTAACGGCGAGGGTATGGGTTACGCCTTCGGCGACATTCAAGGAAATTACACGGCCTCGTTCATCCATCGGATCACGGGTAAAACGGCCAAAGTTATTAGCGACAACGCAACGATGACCACCGCAACGACGACGATAGAACCGCCGCTGGTCCAGCCCTCTCATTCCTGGGGCATATTCTTCACGATTCTCGGGACTGTGCTGCTGGATTTCGACGCCGACGCTTGCCAGAGTCCCGCGAGAGCCTACTTGCTCGACGTCACGATACCAGGTTATGATAATGAAAGTTTTCGACTTATACCGTAGATTAATTATTCACGTTATTTAACTCGGTCTCATGATTCCAGAAATTAATATTTAATATTTTCAAAACCGCTACTTATAAAATTATTTTCACTTTGACACTTGCAGATTTGCGAATAAAGGTACTCGCCGTCTAGTGGCGAAGGCTGGCATTAATAATGACAAAGCCGTTATTCATTTTTTTAGAAATTTTAATTAAAATTTTTAAATGTGGGTCGCTTTTGTACATTTGTGCCTCAAAAGTAATTTGCAAGCCATTTTTCATGCAGTTTATGTGAAGAAATAAATCAGTACTTATACACATTATTAAAAATATCATCATCGGTTACTTTAATTTTTACATATAAAGCTAATCCACTTATAGCAAAGAATTCAAGTATATTTCAAAATCGTCGTGCCTTGATTCATACAATCATTTTCACTTTGCCTCTTGCAGATTGACATATAATGGTACTTCGACATCTAGTGGCGAAGGCTTGAAGTCGTATTATCGCATTTTAAGGGGTTGAAATTTAATCTAAATTTTTTGAAACGGATGAATTTTCAATTCAAAATCATTCAAAATGAGTTTGATCATAAAAGTAAAATTAATATCAATGCATTTGAAAATAGTATATTTTGCACCTAGTGAGTGAAAAACTGGAAAGTCTTAGAGCACGTACAATTTATCAGCTGAGGCTTCGCCTCAGTTTTTCACTCCCCAGGTGCAAAATATACTAATTTTCGGTCATCAGTCCGTTTTTAACTAGAAGCATTTCTACCAGGATAAGATACTAAAAAAAAAAAAAAATGATCATTAATATCCTCTATCTTTTTTTGCCACCCGGCGCCCTTTTACAGAGGATCATGCTCGCGGCCTCAGCACGTTCACGATAATGGCCGGCCTGGGCGGCTTCATGGGCTACGGCCTCGGCGGCATCAACTGGGACGCCACGCGGATCGGCGTGGCCCTCGGCGGCCATCTGCACGCCGTCTTCACCCTCATCACCTTTATCTTCATTTTTTGCGTGGCCAGCACTCTGACGAGCTTCAAGGAGATACCGCTCGTCTTCCTCGAGAGCGAGGAGTGCCAGCAGCAGCTGCGCGAAATGGTAAACGACGATGATTATTATTATTATCGTTATTATCGTAAAAGTGGCGAGGGAGCGAAATTAAAATGAAAAATGCTTTTGCGCAGGCGGAGGATAAGCGTCGACAGAGCGAGAGCGGGAAAATAGCTGCAGAGGAGTCGGTGACTTACGGCACCCTCGGAAATGAGCAGGAAATGGAAAATGGCGAGGTGAGATAATTATTATTATAACCATCGATTTTTGAGCCTATAGCTTCGCGCATGGCTCATTGAACCCTCTCCATTCACATTTATCACACTCGTAGGAACTACCAATGAAGGAACTACCACCTCAGCGAAAAGCCGGTGCCGTGCCGATGATTCCCGACGTGAAATCGCCACCACCTCCTCGGCCCAAACCGCCGCCGCCAGCGGCAGCCGGAGAGGCGTCGGCCGACGCAGCCGAAGCCGTGATACTCGACAGCGACGACGCCGCCGCGGCAAATCCGAAAGCCACTCTGCAGGAGTATCTGTACTCGATTCTGTACATGCCGCACAGCATGCGAATGGTCTGCCTGACGAATCTCTGCTGCTGGATGGCGCACGTCTGCTACTCGCTGTACTTTACCGATTTCGTGGGCGAGGCTGTCTACGGGGGCGATCCGAAGGTATTATTATTTTTCAATTATTTTTAACTCGCGTAAACAAATTGGATCCAAATTTTAATGCAACGAACATGTGTAGGCTCCGGAAGGATCGAAGGAGCGAGCTCTTTACGAGGACGGCGTCAGATTCGGCTGCTGGGGTATGTCGATGTACTCGCTCTCCTGCGCCTGCTACTCCCTAGTAATCGAAAAACTGATCCAACGTTTCAAGTGAGTCGCTGGAATCTTATACGCTCGAACAATGGTCTCGATTCCAAAAAATTATTTCGTTCTCTCTCTGCAATTTCGACTGTGAACAGGGCACGAAAGGTCTATATCTGCGGCCTGCTGTTCTACAGCTGCGGAATGATGCTGATGGCCCTGACCAAGCATCCCTTCGGCGTCATACTGTTCTCGTGGACGGCGGGCGTCATGTACTCGACCCTCTTCACCATGCCCTACCTGCTCATCGCACACTATCACGCCGAGAACACGGTAATAAGTTGCACCTGTATACTTAATCGGTATACGATTCGTATTTCTCATGAAAAAATCGATTAGGTCCGCAGATTAGTTTTCTGAGATCATTCATATTTCTCTTTCATTTATATTAAAATTAAATAATGCACTTTTGATGTATACATTAATACAAATTACAGTGCGTTAATACATAAAATGTGTACAAAAATGATGAAAAACTCTGATAAGTATTTAAACATATTTTAAAAATACTTCAACTATTTAAAATAATAATTTATTTGTCTAGTCATTTTGGATAATTGATAAATCTCTAATGTATTCTATAATTAACTTCTAGTATTCGCTATCGAATAAATGCCACAATTTTCGTTAAGTTTGGTACTCGATGAGATAATACCAAGTATGAGAATCACTTAACGTTCCTTCGTTCTAATTTTTGTTGCGAGGCAAGTTTTTTTGAGATTCGAAGTCTTCACTTGCTTCGTAAACATCCCGTTTAAGATCGATCCAATGGGATTTTAACTGCACCAAAATTTAGCCGTGCTGTGAATCATTTAATTGCACTTGTCCAATCCAGTCAACTTAAACTCGATTCTATTCCAAATTTCTTTTCGCACTTGCCGCATCCAAAATACTTGCATCTTTCGTGGATTGTCATTTGGTGCAAAAGCAAATTAACTTTTTGACCAAATTTTTCCTCACACTTGTCGCATGCATAATCTTTGCGACCCTCATGGACTGTCTTTAGGTTGGTTAGCAAATGCTGTTTCAGTCCAAATTTCTTCTCATACTTGTCACGTGCATGATCTTTACGACCTTCATGAATTGTCTTTTGGTGTCTCAACAAACTATATTTTCGTCCAAATTTCTTCTCACACTTGTCGCATGCGTAATCTTTGCGACTTTCGTGGATTGTCATTTGATGCAAGAGCAAATGCGGTTTTTGTCCAAATTTTTTCTCGCACTTGTCGCAAGAGAAATCTCTCCGACCTTCGTGGACTGTCTTTTGATGGTTGAGTAAAGTCTCTTTACGTACGAATTTCTTCTCGCACTTGTCGCATTTATAATCTTTGCGACCTTCGTGGACTGACTTTTGGTGTTGGAGCAAATGTGATTTTTGTCCAAATTTCTTCTTACACTCATCGCATGGATAATCTTTGCGACCTTCGTGTTCTGCTCTTTGGTGCTTCAACAAATTTGATTTGAATCCAAATTTCTTGTCGCAATTATCGCACGCATAATCTGTTCTCTTATTGTGAATTATGTCTCGATGCTTTATCATGCTCGATTCTAGTGTAAATGCTTTTTGAGAAATGTCAGAAACATGTTGTTTGTCCATTTTGGTGCCTCGATTGAACGTTGAATCTATTTATTTAAAGTAAGGAAATTGAATGAGTAAAATTTATGTTTTGGTATTATGGCTTGTTTCGTCAGGAAAGACCCGATTCAAACTGATTTATTTTCTTTATAAACTTGATCAGCCCTCGAGAGACGATGTCAAGATTGATTTTGTTCATATTGTTTACAATTAGAACATGGATTTATTTGTCAATATTTGCCCTACGTATCCCATAAAATAAATATTCTATATACTGATACTGATCGCTATTAATTATGTGACTGAAAAATTTTCATATTATTTCAATACTCTCTGTTCAACAGAATGATGAAGAAAGAGTTGAAGAAAGAAAACCGATATTATCGACATTTTACGTACTCATAAAAACAATTATTTTTATGATGATTTTTTTAATTAATCAACCATTGACATAACTTCATAATAATATTAAAAAAAAAAGCAAGTTGACTTTGACGTTCTCTCATTTTTCAAATGTAAAACAGCCGTCATGATAAATTTTTTCACGTGAAATACAAATAATTTCCATAAAATTTGATTCGACTTATTTTCTGGCTTCCATACATAGTTCGCCGTGGACGCTCACGGCGCCTCGATCCAGGAGAGCAGCGTGCGCGGCCTCGGCACCGACGTCGCCATCGTCTCGTCCATGGTGTTCCTGGCCCAGTTTCTCCTGTCCTGCGTGCTCGGCACCATCGTCAGCGTTTCGGGCACCACCACCGCCGTGGTCTGCGTCGCGAGCACCCTCGCCGCTTGCGGAGCTCTCGCAGCCACCCAGATCATGTATCTCGATCTTTAAAGAGGAGCAAAAGAAAAGCAACTGTTATTATCGATCGCTCGTATGATAAATGTTCAATGACGATAATACCGCGAACGTTATGAAGTTATCGGGCGAGTCTCCGGTAACGTCGAGTTTTTCGAAGCCGTGCTGTTATCGTATATTATATATGCCGTCGTGTATCGTTGATGATAATGATATCCGTAATTCTCAAATTTTGTTGAGGACGTAATATTAAATAGGAATTTTTTTTTAATAATAATGTGCCATATATTGAATGATCGTGTTAAGCACAATCGATTATTTAAACTCCAAAGACAAACGACTTTTGAGAGGTATATGTTCTTCTTCGATGTAAATACATTTACTTAGGGATTAAAACAAAATTACGAATTATATACGTCAGAATTTATCTAGAATTAAAAAAAATTATACATTTTATTCTTCGAAGTCGATTTATCGTTACAGATAAAACGAAGTAATTTATTAAATTATTATTATTATGAAAATATTCAAGTAATTGTAATGTTTAAGACAATATTTTTATAAGCGGATGACGCTGGCGTCTTTGTACATATAAAGTCTCACGCGTAAATGTCTAAACGTAAAAAAAAAATTATATAATGACATTTTGTTCAAATACATTTTAAAATGATGAAACGGAGTCTTCTATACAACGGTTATAAGCTTGAACGAGCCATTTCTATCTGTGACTTATGCGCTTATATATAAAATCAACTATAGAAACTTATAATTACGTTATAATGACTGTCATTTAAATGAGAAAAAAAATGAAAATACAAGTACTTATTTGTAGACTTACATAGACGTAAACGAATGTATAACAATTGATGCCTAAATACATCACTTTAGGGCAAACAATTACAGGTATATGTTTTTAAATTAATGTGTAATTTTTACATTAAAATATGTGCAATCAATAAAATATAATACTAAATGAATGCTAAACATGGTAACTTAGAGGTTTGCAAGAAAGAGAGATCATTGTATTCGAAGAGGTGAGCTCAATTCTTCAACCACTACGCGTTTTTTTCTTATCTCTTCTAAACTCAAACCATCGTATTTTGATCTCGCTCATGTCAGGACCCCAATTTTTCGACGAATCGAATGTTCTTTTCAAAATCTGGCAAAGAAAAGATTTTACAATAAAAATTATATTCTTTTCTATCAAATTGAATAATTCGTCTTACCTCGGGAAAAGAAAATTCGTGTCTTTTTTTGATAACGCTTACAACCAACCAGAGAGGAATTTGCAAAAGAGCAAAGCTGAATAGAATCCATCCAATTACTAAAACAATAAGAAGAACATCGTATCACGATGATAATTCAGAATTTATAAGCTACCAGAAATAATTATGTGAATATTGTTATTATCGTCGTCATTAAATTTTGTATCGTGAAATTTACCGTAGGCAAAGTCCGGATACAAGATGCCATTGTAGGTAAGTAGCTTAAGATTGACGACGCTGTAGATGAAAACTCCGGTAATTATGGCAGGAGTCAAGAAGTACCAACAGAAACGCCAGTACCAGCCCAGTCGTCGTTTCAGCATGAATTCCATATCGTCTAGGAAATTATTCAGTCCTGAAATTAAATTTATTATTGTGTGCACTGATAAAAAAAGTCTTAAATTTGATAAAGATTTATACGTAAGTTCAGATGCCAAAATTAAAGTAACCAATTTCACATTTTTCTTCAAGTATTTTTTATGAAATCTTCTTAGTAAATTAGCTGATAAATAATGATTAAAATTTTAACATAAACTGCATGGAAAATACATAAAAATATTATTGCCCCTCGTGCGTTACTTTTGGTACTGAAATTTTTAAAAAACTTCATGGAAATTAAAGGATAATTAAAGCCTTCACCACCAAATGGCGAGTAACTTTTTCTCTGAAAATCTGCAAGTGACTAAGTAAAAAAACTGTATAAGTTAAGGGAACACATACACCTAATACATACAGCGAACCAATAGGTCACTCTCAAGCAGTACTTTTATGACTTAAATTTCGGTAAAAACGAAAAATAGAAAAAAATGTGTGCTGAACTGTTCATGCAGAACAATCTGCCCGTTCGATCGTCTCATCCGAGATAGTGACCGCAACCATTGATGTTCTGAAGAAGTGTACGCGACCCTGGTGCTGAAGCTCAATCAGTACCCTCTGAAAGTTACAATAGATGACCAAAAACACTACTCGCCAGAAAACGCAAAAGAAGAAAAAATTTAACACGTAAAGTATAGGAAAAGGGTTCACGGAAACAGCTGTATTTCAGGGCAAAATCAAAATTTTGGAATTTCGAAAAATGCAATGGAAAGGGACGGAAATCCTACTCAATAATGCAATAAAAAATTGTTTGAGTTTAAGGTGTATGTATCCCCTTAAGGAGGCTCTACACCAATCATAACAATAGTACAGCGAGGCATCTGTCTGTCTCTTTCTCGAGACATCTGTCTGTCTCTTTCTCGCATTAGGCACCGCTCGAACTATTCGAAATCAATGATTTTGTTTAATTACTCATTAGTTAGTTCGTTAAGGGGTAATTTTTAACATAGCAATCGAAAGTTTGGAACTTTCTCTTTCAGAAAATATATTTTTTATTAAGATGGTTGATCTTTTAAATTAGTTATAAACAATAAAAGACCGTGTCCCATAAGAGCCCGTGTTAAAATCGCCATTTATTTAAACTTGTTTATCTCGAAAGTTTGATCGTCAACCACATGTTTTTTTTTTGGAATCTTATTTTGAAGATCTAACAAATCGATTGATATAAGTTTTATTATGTTGGATGATCTTTTCTATTATGTGTAGAGCCTCCTTAAAGCACGCTAGATTACCAGGACATATTCGTAATGGGACTGTATTTTAGTAGATAAATAAAATAATGCATCACACTGATGTAAAAAATTACACAAATTTACCAAGAAAAATGACTTGAACCTTGCAAAAGAAACGTTTTCTTTTTTTAAAGTCACTACTCAAATTCTCACGAAATTAATAAAACTAAAAAAAAAGAATTTTCGGAAATAAAAAAAACTTTTTTTCAGTACGTAACTTTTAAAATAATCAAAAAATAATTTTCAGTTTGTCTTAAACTCAATTAACGGCAATCAATTAACGGCAATTAACGGCAAAGTATTAAATAATGTAAATTTATTCAGCGTGAGTTCTTTTTCTGTCAAATTCTTGCTGTATTTTGAATACCCTATCCATCATTTAGATTATTTTCAATGCAAAAATGAGCCAAAAAAAGTCTAATTCTCAAATTTAAATATCATAATTGAAATTTATCAACAAATTAAATGTTAGCTTAAGTGGCAAAGTAAAAATAATAGTATAATTAAAATCACGATTTTAAGTCACCATTTAAGAATTTCAATTGTAATCTAACTATTGTAATCTAAAAATTGTTGAAGGTGTGGGCTCTTTAAAATCATATGAATTACTTACCGTAAACGTAACAAACACCAATGAGAATGAAAATAGCAGGTACAAATGCTACGAAGGAAGTGATGTAGTAATCGACAAAAGTAACCATGAATTGTCCCCCCTAAAAACGAATTTTTTAATATTCTCGAAATTGTAAAACTCGCTTAACTCTGAAAAATTGTAGAAGTTAATACCGACCGGCGTAACGTAAATCAAGCCAATCAAGAATTCCGAAATTACAACGCCGCTCGAGACGTGAATCATTTTCCAATGGGGCTTGTAGTCGTGAATTATGGCGATGACGCTGGAAGCCAGTCCGGCCGCGCTGCCGATGCCCAGAACGAACAACATCACGAAGAAGATGACGGCGAAGAATTGCGGCATCCACGTGAACTTGGCTATGGCGTCCGGGTAGGAGATGAAGGCGAGTCCGGTGCCGCCTCGCACGACCCTGTCGATGTCCGTGTTGAGCTCGTGGGCCAGATTACCGAGAATTCCGAAGATGATAAGACCGGAGAAGAAGGACGTGAACATGTCCAGTGTCGTCACAATTTGGGCGTCTCTGCGTAAACGGAATGTGCAAATTGAATCATATTGAAAAAAAAATTTTCCTTTGTAGAAATTTTCACCATGAACGAAAAATGATCATTTCAAATTTTTTAAAATACATTACCATTATAACTGTCTACTCTTTGTTGATTATTATGTTACAATTATTTTACATAAAATGAATTTTAAATGACCTGAAAATGATTATTTAATTGTTTTTAAAAATTTAGACCAGTTTTCAACCACTTTGAATACAGTACTACTTTAAGCCTTTACAACTAGATGGCAAGTACCTATATTTGTAAATCTGCAAGAGGCGAAGTAAAAAAATTGTAATAAGTAAAAAAATTATAAAAAAAAAAACATATACAATTTTAGAACAAATTTGTCCTGATTTTTCTAGTATAGAGGAATCCCTATTCTTTTCAGTGTACTTTTCAAATGTGAAAAATTTGTTGGTCGAAAAGCAGCCTACCAGGGTTAAAAAATTATGAAATTAGTCGAATCCTTACCGATAGACATTGTGCTCGAATCTGTTGTGCGAGGAAAACATGACGATGGCACCGAAACAAATGGTCAGAGAGAAAAAGCACTGGGACACGGCGGCGTACCAGACGCTCGGATCCTTGAGCTTGTCCCACTGAGGTCTGACGAAGTACAAGATTCCTTCGCCGGCTCCCTCGAGGGTAACGGCTCTGATCAGTAAGCCGAGCATGACGATGTAGGGGAAGCTAGCGAGAAAATATGCCGCCTTGCCGGAGCTCTTGATGCCGCGAACAACGACGAGGAAGACCACGAGCCAGCTCGCGGCCAGACACAGGGCGAGTCGCCAATCCGGCATTCCGATTCCGTCGTCGATATTGTCCTTCTCTCTTAATACCTCTTTGCTGCGAGGATTTTATATTTTAATTTTGTAATGATAATCATTTGAAGATGGAATCGTGGCAAAAACGTACAAGAAGTAAAGCTCGGCCGAACTGTACTGGGTGACGTTCGTCGGATAAGCTGCGGTTGCATTTAAGGATCGTCTGAGGGAGTCCAGACAATTCGAGCCCCACTCCGGTCGGCATTTCGACCAGGGCAGCTCAGCCTGGAAACTATTTATCAGATAAAATAATGTCAAGGCCATCAGAGAGCAGTAGTAGGAAGACAGAGCCACGAGGATGAAGAACTGCACGAAACCTATGCCTGCACAAACAAGTTCGTTCATCTTCTTCATTTGAGCTTTATTTAAAAAAGCTCGAGTCTATTGATTACCCCTGAAAGCCGGAACCATATCCCAAATTTTGATGGTCGATTTACTGGAAAATTGACCCAGTACCATTTCGAGCAGATAGTAGGGCCGGCCTACCACCGTCAAAATAATTATGTAGGGGATGAGGAAGGCACCGCCACCGTTAGCGTAGGCTGTAGCTGGAAAACGCCAAACATTGCCTAGACCAATTGACATGGAAATGCAGGACAACAGAAATTCTCGATCGTTGCCCCATTGAGCTCGCTCGTTTTGTTGTTGCTCGGATTTCGTTGACGTATTCTCCGTTATCTGCAATAAGCTGAGTGATTTAAGTGGTTCCCTTTGACAAAGTCACAAATTTTTGATTTATCATATAGATATCGAACGACGATCGCGTCGATTTTGCTGATATTGTCAAATAACCCATTAAAAATCTCGAGTTGACGTTTTTTGCGATAGTTATCTCAGGCGAAGTGATTGCCAAACGTCGTAATACTACTTCAAAAAATCACGAATAACGTATTTTTGAAATAGATCATTGGGAAAGTGTTATAGTTTACCGTTTTCGTCTCGATCGGTATCTTGGTGCTGTCCGGTTGACTGATACTACTGCGTGAGCTGCCGTGGCCATCATTATTTGTGAATCCATGATTAACGAGCCCCCCGCTGTTGATCTAATTTACCAGAAATGTCATTTTTGATTTATTACAATTTACAAATCAAGTTGACATCAAAATTTACAATTATTGTATAAAAATTCAATCAGATTTTAAAAAAGTCTTATCGGTCAATTTAAGAAAGATGCACCTCAATGATTCGAAAGTAAGAAATTTATGCGTACTTTATAAAAAAGAGATGAAACACATTCAAATTTTACGATCGATTTTATCAATCTTTATTGTATCAAAATCTACTTTCGATGCCATCCATTTAATGCAAACAAAAATGTAAATTTCACCAAAATTGTCAAAACTAAAATTGATACTGGTTCCACGAACCAATAACTTGGCATATTATTTCATCTCAATCAATTAAACTATTTTTAACAAATCACTTACGGTTTGCTCCATTTTCAATAATTTTTTTTGTTTTAACTCAAAAACACTTTTAATGCCAGATGCTCGTCCATTTGATCCTATGAATTTTCGGCACAAAGCGAACGTTTGTTTATTTTTGTTTTTACCAACCTCGTGTAAAGTTGAAGTTCGACTGATATCGATGAAAAGTTGCATCGAGTATCTGAATGATGCTCGGAAGAATGTAGAGATGGAAACATTGACAATAAAGATAAGACTTATAAAGATCTAAAAATCCAATTTATCTCTAAAACGGGTTAATTAACAATTTTGCCAAGATTACCTATGCATGTATCATCGAAGAAAATCGACGGCAAAACGCGCGGACGAGCAATAAATAAATTCATGGGGTATTTTTCCTAAAATAAAATTATTTTATATCGTTGCCAATGTGCACCGCGGCGACATTCATTCGCATTATAATTTTCCACCCGATGAAAATCGAAAGTATTGAGGTAACTAGGTTAATAAGCTTGCGCGAGCAAAAGATTTCTATCGTTCGAGTATAGTAAATAAAACTTGTCGTTTTCATTCGTCGGGCCACTTGAGGATACACACGTGTGCGCGCGCTCCGTCATGCATGGCCAACATGATCATTCAGCAAAATAAAACAAAATACTTGAAAATATATTTCGATATTTTTATTCGTTTTTAAATCCTTAAAATTACAAAAAGTTGAGAAATGGCAAAAAGTGAAAAAAAATGGCAAGTACCTAAATTCTATTTGTTCAAAGTAATTTTCATAAATAATGTTCCAAGTAGCGATTTCATAAAACTCTGTCAATTTAACTTAGCAACAGGAAGCGTAGTTTTTCCCTGGCAACAACACGCGACGCCGATTAGAATCTTTTTAATCGCAGTGCCGCGAGTATTAGCGTAGAGAAGTGAGCTTTTTACCCATTACTTAATAGACCCCCAGGCATCATATCTTTTTATTATGTACGAGCTCGAATTAATCGTTTGGTACATTTTATAATTAATCACTATCAATTGTTGCAATGTCCGGTTGGGTTATCAGGTTAAAAAAATAAGTAAGAAACAATTATTCCAATTCTATTACATTGTTTATCTTTGCATTAAAGTTTTAAAAATAATTACAGCATTAAATTCGAGCGTGCAGTTATTATATTGTTCTAAACATTTCATAATAGTTTAAGTTGGTGCTATAATCTCGTTGGAATCGTAAAAATCTCCTCGGTGTGCGCGCGTAAGAGAGCTCAACGGTACAAATGCAAAAACGATAATAAAGCAATCGAAGATAACCTAGTTGCAAAAAATGGCGACGATATCGCACAAGCCGCACGGCGCTGACGAGCCTTGTACTCTCAGCTACCTTCTGGACAAAGGGATACGCGAGGAGCTCATAATAAAGCTCTGCCATGAGGGCCTCAACGATGACAATGTCAAGTGAGATCAACGTTTTGCGATGTATTTCTCGGTGATAACGTTAATTTTCACGCCAGGAGATTGACGACATGTGGCTTGACGAAGAACGACATCGACGAAATACGGGTAATAATGAAAGCCAACACTCGATCGTATTCCGGAGGTAAAGACAAAGACACGGCGAGCGTGCACTCGTTCGATGCGATACGCGAAGAGGCAGCGAGCTTCGCAAGAAAACATTTTGGTCATGTTTTGCCGGCAGCGATAATAGAAATCGTCAAAAAACAACCCTTCGAGCCGATCAATTATCTTGGAAAGTGGCTCATCGAATACGCGGTCGGTTGCTTAATGAAAATTTAAAACTCGACACGCAGTAGTTTATCTCGTGCGATAAAAAAAAAAAACGAGAATTTTCAAATTATATATTTAGGATCGAGTGAAGCGAGCAGAGGAGCAACAAAAGTTCGAGGCTGAAATAGAAGAGAGGCGAAGGAAGTGTCCCGATCGCATCGAAGTGACCCCTGTATGATTTTTTTTTCTTTGGTGTTATGGAGTATTTTTGCGACGTAAAAAAAATTTTTTTCAGTCCACGTCTTGTGCCAATTTGTCGTTCGTCGACTATAACGCTGGATCCGAGGAGGAAGGCCGCGAGTACGAAGAAGAGAGCCACGTCAGTTCGTCGATCGGCAAGCCCGACGAGGCCGCCGCGGCTGACGACAATTGAACTTGACTCAAATATATATTCAACAATGACCAATTTATTCGAAGGATATAATGATAAATCATTAAATAATGACATAACAATCAATTTTTTTGCAACGAACATTTATGTGTATATAGTTCAAGAATTAGCGAATAAATTATAAAACAACAGCGGAGCGCGTACTTCTAAATACGCAGAATTGCGTCGGTGTATTAAGTATATTGACGGGCACCGACGATAAGACGATAAGATATAGCTAATGACTCTCGTCTAGATTTGTGTATTGCGCATCGAGCATGAATTATATATCCAGAGAGATGTATCACGATACGCGTGTATGTGTGTGTGTGTGTGTGTGTGTGTGTGTTTGACTTATATATGCTACGACGACGACGATGCTTTTTTTTCTCATCGCAATCGTGTGTATCCGAAATCGCGACAAGCACGTGTCGTTAAAAATGACAATTAAATCGATGATTCGGTGGCTTTTTCTGATTTCGATTTTATCTCAAGTCTAAAATCTTAATGCTATGTGTACGTTATTAGACTACATTATAATACTGAAATTCTAATTAATAATCTCTTATCTCGCATTTAAGAGTGCGATATACGTAGACAGACAATCAGTTCCGTACGGACGGAAGACGAATTTCTAGTGTATTATAGCTTTTCACTCCATAATGCGCGACGTAAAAATACGAAAACTGAAAAAATCCAGTTTGTGCACTCTCGGTTACGACAGAGACGATTTATTCTTTTTGAATTCCAGCCACTCCGTGTTGATCTTCTTGTTCACCGGGCCCCAGTTCACCGACGAATCGAAAGTTCGGTATATAATCTGGATAGAAAAGAAAATTATACGCGTTATTTATCGAGTGTCGCTCATTATAAAATTTTGTATTATCAATGAATGGTAATGTGCAATGAAGCATACCTCGGGGAATTTGTACGATCTCTTTTTAATCATGTTGATGACGACCCACAGAGGTATTTGAATCAGAGCGGCGGCGAACAGTATCCATCCGATGACTGTAAATAATTTTGGGAAAGAATAAAAAATAAAAGAAGCCGATAAATTTTTATATGATTATAATGCAATAAATGAACTCACTGTATGCTATCGGTGGATAGGCGATTTTCGACGTAGACGTCTTGCTGTACGTCAGTACTTCGGACACGGCAAGACTGTAAATAAATACACCGGTGATAATGACCGGAGTTATGAAAGCCCAGCAGATGCGCCAGTACCAGCCTAATCTTCGCTTCAACATGAATTCGATGTCGTCCAAGAAGTTGTTCAATCCTATAGATAAAGATAAAAATGCATATTAATCGATCGATCGCTTATGAAATAATAGCAAAAAACAATAATATTTACCGTAAACATAGCAGACGCCCACCAACATGAATATGGCAGGTACGAACGCCACGAAGGAGGTAATGTAATAATCGACGAAAGTTATCATGAATTGACCACCCTGAAAAAGATAATCGTTCGAGCATCGACCGAGTCTTCGATATCTATTAGCTCGAAATCTCAAAATCTTACCGGCGTGACGTAAATCAATCCGACGAGGAACTCGAAGATCACGACTCCGGCCGCGACGTAGGTCGGCCGCCACTTGGGCTTGTAATCCTTGATGATGGTGATGATGCTGTTGGCCAGAGCGGACGCGCTGCCGATTCCCAGAGTGAACAGCATGATGAAGAAGATGACGGCGAAGAATTGAGGCAGCCAGTGGAACTTGGCGATGGCTTCGGGATAGGAGATGAAGGCTAGACCGGTGCCCTTGCGAGCGACTTTGTCGATGTCGGTGTTGAGCTCGTGGGCCAAATTTCCGAGGATACCGAAGATGGTACAGCCGGATATGGTCGAGGTGATCATGTCCATGGTAGTGACTATTTGCGTGTCTCTATATACGTTGTGCTCGAATCTGTTGTGCGACGAGAACATGACGATGGCTCCGAAGCAAATTGTGAGCGAGAAGAAGCACTGCGACACCGCGGCGTACCAGACGCCCGGGTTCAGCAGCATGTCCCACTGGGGCTTGAACAGGTAGAGAATTCCGGTGCCGGCACCCTCGAGGGTGACCGACCTCACGAGCAGACCCAGCATGACGATGTAAGGGAAACTGGTGAGGAAGTAGACGGCCTTGCCGGAGCTCTTGATGCCTCGGACGACGACCATGAAGACCACGAGCCAGCTAGCGGCCAGACACAGGGTCAGTTGCCAGTCGGGATAGCCGATTCCGTCGTCGATGTTCTCTTTCTCTTTCAGCACTTCTTTGCTGCAACGACAGAGTCGTGGGTTAATTGCATCGTATCGAGAAGGTTTTCGAGAATTTTAATAAAAGGATTGCGTTGCTTACTAGAAGTATAATTCAGCCGAGGAAGAGGCATTGTGACTGCCTGTGACATTGGAAATCGAGTCGAGGCAGTTCGGGCCCCACTCGGCTCGACACTTCGTCCAAGGCAGCTCGGACTGGAAACTGCTCACCAGATAATGCAACGTGATGGCCATCAGAGAGCAGTAGTAGGACGACAGAGCCGTCAAGATGAAAAATTGCACGACGCCGATTCCTATCGAACAGATTCATTCTGTTGGTTATCAAGCTCTCTTCGCCACTTCTCCCGTTTCCGTTTCGCAATATTCACCTTTCAAAGCCGGCACCATGTCCCAGATTTTGATGGTCGATTTGCTGGAAAACTGACCGAGCAACATTTCCAGCAGGTAGTAGGGCCTGCCGACCACCGTCAAGATGATTATGTAGGGAATGAGGAAGGCGCCGCCGCCGTTGGCGTAGGCTTGATACGGAAAGCGCCATATATTGCCGAGACCGATGGACATGGAGATGCAGGACAGGAGAAATTCTCGATCGCTGCCCCATTGCGCTCGCTCGTGTCCTCCGTTGGCGGAGGATTCGCTCACGGTGTCGTCAGATTTCTATGATAAAAAAATACATCATCATTTTTTTTTTTTTTTACAAGAAATAAATTATCTTATAGATGCATCAAGCACGCACGTGATATAACAAAATAATAAATAATGCACGAAGTATTTCAGCACTCGAGATTAATTTTAAATTAACATACGGGGGGTTGAGACATTTATCATCGATGCACAGTGATACGTAGATAAAATAAAATCCTTCGAATGATTTTTTTTATAAACAAATAAATTACTTACCGCATTGACATCTGACTGTCCAGGTAGCGCAATATTTTCGAACTTTTCTGGTGTATATGCGAGGTTGACGATGCCATCGCTATGGATCTGAAATTGTAATAAATTTTTGTGATATCGGTCATTCGAATTTTCGGTGAACTTTACAATCATTACAGTGTCAAAAGATTACTTTGGTATTTAATGGTAAATAGATAAGTAATTTGACCGACATTTTTTAATCGATTTTGATGTTTGGAATATTACATTTGATGTAATAATAAATCGTTTTTGAATGACTCGAAATATTGATTTACAAATTTTGAATATAATAAATAAATATCAAGTATAAATATAAATATAAATATGAATACAAATATTGAACCTACTTTAAGAAGCTAAAATGATTATTTTTAAATAATTTTATGAGATATTCATTAAATATTTTTCTTAAAAGCTACATGGATAAAAAATTAATGAAATAGTATATGGTTTCCTAAGGAGTGAAACACTAAAAAACAATTCACTACATAAACGTGCAAATAAACTTTTTTCTGAATCCCATACTTTGACTCTTCATCCATACAATGGTTCGAATGCCAAATCACAATGAAAATTCGCCGTTTATTCAATGGGGTATATGCAGTGCAAATTATAACAAATTGATTTACTCACGGTTTTCGCCATTTGAATGTTTTCCGACGCCGAGCTCATCTCGGTGCACAATACGTATCTTACCGCTGTCACCTACAACGCGACTGGTGCGGGATTGACCGTTCGTTCCGAACGATCGAATGGAAGTGACGATATAAATTAATAATCGAGTTCCGAGTCATGCGTGAAAAAAAGAAGATATCGGGTCCCGAGTCTTCGAAGATAAGTTGTAGCAATCTCATAGACGAAATTATACTCGTGAATTTTCGGAGTTTTTGAAAAGCGTCCGAACACTTAATTATAATCTATATCGATCTTTATCGATAATATATATGAAGCTGTTCTCCGTTATTCGATGCTGCCCGATGTTTACACTTATCTAATGCGAACAAATAGTGGTATAAATAATCGTGTGTCTCGTTTCTGCCTCGTAATGTTGTCTCACTTTCAATTTTCATAATTGACAATTTCATTACAATTAATTTAATGATAAAATAACGTTGAGAAAGTGTTTGGTGATCACAAGATTTATTTTATGCAAAAAGTTTAGATGAAGGGTTTCATCTTACGTTTCGTAAAAACTTATTGTATAAATGACATTTTGCAATTTAACAAAAATTTTTTCTTTTTTTTTGTACTACAAAAATGTTTGAATACGATTGGATGACGATTTGACTTATATTATTTTTATCTTATCACAACATATTAAGATGATTGATTTCTGACACGGGTTTATAATACTTGAAAAAAAAGATAATTATTCAAAAATCCGGCGAAAACTCGTTGATTTTCTTTCAAATTCTTTTGCACGTGAGTCACATAATTAATATAAGTACTTGGGAAAAGTCGCGTATAGTGGCGTGCCAGCGCCGCAGAGTTCATCGATTTTCAACACGCACAATTGAATAATGTATACACTTCAGTCAAGCTTGTCCTCGCAAGCGAACAGCACGTAAACGAACTGCTTGAACCTCGAGGAGGTGCGCTTGGCGCGTATTAAATCCTTCTTCTCCTTGAAGTCCATCCAGTCTTGACGATCGGCTTGGCGCAGCGGGCCCCAGTCGCTGCTTGGCCTCAGAACCTTGGCGAACATCTGCGGCGAGATGCGCATGTTTTAAAAAATCAAAATTGTTGACATTCGCTATCGAGAAGTCATGACTTACTTGTGCGAGTCCGTATTGTCTTTTTGATACGAGAGCGTAGACGAACCAAAAGGGTATCTGCAGAACTCCGAAGGCAAGAAGCGTCCATCCAGCAGCTAAAAATACGAAAATAAATTTAATCGTCTAAAATTTACGATCGAGAAAATTATTCACCATGTGCACTGGGAGGATACTCTTTGTTCTCGTAAGTCAGGGGAGTGAGATTGGCGACCGTGTAAATGAAAATAGTTATCAGCATGAAGGGGGTGACGACGGCCCAGCACAGACGCCAGTAGACGCTCGGTCTCTGCTTGAGCATGAACTCGGTGTCGTCGAGGAACGACTCCAAGCCGTAGAGCCAGAAGATGCCCGTCACCTCGAGGCTGGCCAGGATGAAGACGACGAACGACGCCGCGTAATAGTCCACCAGGCCCAAAACGAACTGTCCGCCCTATCATCGAAATCAAAAAGAATAAAATGACGCATCGTAAAACAATATTATGAAATGCGAGCGATGTTTACCTGTGTGCAGTAAACGCAACCGACCCCGAAGCCTATGCTCGTCGTGGCCAACACGATGTACCAATGCTTCCAGTGCGGAAACTCGTCGTTTATAATACTGATTATACCTCCCGTTATGGCGATTCCGCTGCCGATGCCCAACACGTAGAGCATCAGGAAGAAGATTACCGAGAAAAACTGTAAACATATGAGACACGTGCTCGAAAATTTTTTCATCTCTTTGTGTCACGAACGAAAAAAACCCATTGCCAATAACATTTGATTATTTCTAATATTTTCTAAACGTAACTTTTAAAATTATCTATATGAATCCTTACAATTTTTGTTTCAAAGCTCTTCTTTTACAACCCCAGCGCGAACGTTAAAAAAAAAAACGATTTTGTGCCACCCCAAACTAAAGTAACATTTTACTCCCGCCGAGCTAAATGAAAATGTTACTTTAGGCCGGGGAATTCACAAAAAATTGTATTTGCAGCTATGTGGCGAAAAAAAAAGTCCCAAAGCATGTGATTATTAGCCGTGGCTTTGCCTCGGATGATAAAGTACATGTGCTCGGAGACTTTCCAGTTTTTCACTCTCTAGGTGCAAAATATATTAATTTTTCAACGATTTTTTTTAATATAATAAAACGATGCATCTTGATGAAATTTTTTATACATACTTTATTGACCTTATACTACTTAAAAAACAATTTTTATAATTTTTTGCCTACCAGGGTCGTTTGCTAAAATTATTTCAAAAAAATACGAGAAAACCGCAGCGGGAACGATTAAGAAAAAACCATTAATTTTATCAACCTGAAATTTTAACACAATAATCTGCCCATGTAAAAAATAAAGAAATGGCGGCGTGTTTTATTTATATCTCCAAAAATATTATGCCGAGATGCATAAAATTTTCATAAAATATTTAACGAGTTCCTACGTTCCCAGAAAAAATAAGGTAAAGAAGCATGAAATCTTAAGAAATTACTTGCGGCAAAATGCTGAACTTGGCGATGGCATCGGGATAGGAGATGAAAGCCAGTCCGGAGCCACCCTGCACTATGTTGCCGACCTCGGTTGTGCCCATCTCGTGGGCCAAATTACCGAGTATACCGAAGATCGTGAAACCCGCCAGTAAACTCGTCAGAGTATCCAAAGTCGTCACTATCATCACGTCCCTGCGTCACAAAAATTTCACACGGACGAAATTTAACATCGAATAAGATTGGCGAAACATTTCTCGAAGGATCGCACAACTCACCTGTATATATTGTGTCGAAAGTCGTTGTAGGACGCGTAAGTGATGAGGCCGCCGAAGCAGACCGAGAGCGAGAAGAAGCACTGGGTGACGGCGGCGTACCAGACGTCGGCCTCGAACAGCTTCGCCCAGTCGGGCTTGATGAAGAAGAGAATGCCGTCCCAGGCGCCCTCCAGCGTGACGGCGCGCACCAGCAGCGCCAGCATCACGACGTAGGGAAAGAGGGCGAGGAAGTAGGCCGCCTTGCCCGAGGTGTGCACGCCCTTGGCCAGCACGCCGAGTATGCAGAGCCAGGCGAAGAGCAGACAGAGCACCAGTCGCCAGTTGGCCGGTCCGAGGCCATCCGCGATGCTGTCGACCTCCATCAGCACCGTGCGCCTGTGCGTAATAATGTATGCATCGGTGAGGCGGGGTTGTGATTAATTATTATTCAACAAAAAATTAATGATATGTATGGATCCAGGGAAAAGTAAAATTTAAAGGGATATCATGAATAATATATTGATAAAACCCTGCTTTTATTTATACAATTACTTTCTCTTTGTCACTTGCAGATTTATAGATAAAGGTACTCGCCATCTAGTGATAGAAGCTTAAAGTAATTGAGAACAGTCTCAATTTTGGAAACTAAAATGCGCTTACTATTTGTCCCATAATTGAAGCAAAGAACTCATCAAAGTTAAATCAAATATTGATAAAACCCTGCTTTGTTTGTCGTACTCGAACGATATTTATATATCTATACTTAAATGTCTACCTGTATCTTATTTTATATCATTTTATTTTATTTTTTTCTCTTTCTCGTATGTTTCGTTTTCTATCTACAATATTACGTTAAGTAAGTTTCACTGTACTTGACACGCTATTAAATATATTAAAATCGGTTTTATTGGTGGTTATATTATAAAAAGCCACGGATAAACCATTTGCAGATTTACACAAAAAGATACTCGCCACCTGGTGGTAGAGACTTCAAGTTATATCTAATTTAAAATAGTTCTAACTTAATACAAATTTTTAAAAACGATTCAACTGTCATTTTGCCATCGAAAAACCCTTGAAAATACTTTTAGTCGTCAATTTTTGGCCACCAGGCAAATATTAATGTTGAAAATTTTTACCAGCAACATAATTCAACTGAACTAATTTCACGAGAGATCTTACTTGAAGTAGAGCTCGGCCGAGCTCTTCAAGCCCGTGATGTTCCGATGCGCCGCGATCGGCTCGCCGTCCTCCGACTTCTTCGAGTCGACGCAGTCCGGCCAGGCCTCGTCGCACTCGGCCCACGGCAGCTGAGCCTGAAAGCTCGACACGAGATAGTAGACGGTGAGCGCCATGAGCGAGCAGTAGTACGTGCCCACGGCGACCATCGAGAACATCTGCGCCCAGCCGACCCCGCGCAGTCCGGGCGCCACCGACCAGAGCTTGACCGAGGAGCGATTCGTGAACTGGCCGACGATCATCTCGAGATAGTAGATGGGCTTGCCGATGAGAAAGAGGACGATGACGTAGGGCACGAGGAAGGCGCCGCCGCCGTTCTCGTAGGCCGTGAAGGGGAAGCGCCAGATGTTGCCGAGGCCCACGGACATGGCGATGCACGACATGAGGAACTCGATGCTGCTGCCCCAGGTCTGGCGCTCGTTCGTCGTCGTTGGCTTCTCTTCCTGCTGGCGATAAATAAATTGAAAATTCGATTTCTTTCGAAAATTAATTAACTATATTAACTTATATGTACCGAGGCGATTGGAGTAGTTTTGACATTTTGATCAATTCCATTCGTATAGGTAGACTGAACGTGACCGTTTCCCACTCGTCCAAGTTCAATGCCGTCGTCGCTCACGAAAGCCGGGTTCTGCTGTCCTTTCTGGAAAATGAAAAAGCAAGGATATTATGATCAAGATTGCAAAACAAAAGAGTCAACCTGTCGGTTTCACTTTCAATACATACAATCACGAACAATAAACCTATACTTATATCGACGCTTTTTAATCATTGTTATTACGATTCACGCTAAAAGCTTTTCCCTCTATCGTGAAACCAGAACTTATGCATCGTGAAAAATCGATTTTCAGTGAACTCTCTTTTCTGGCAGTTTAGCACGATCTGCCGTACTTTGCCGAGAGATACACAAACCAACCGACCGATCATGCGGATTTTTCAACTCGTTCTTTTATTTTCCATACCGGTTCAAACTACGAAATTCGATGATTATCACAGAGCCTTGCTGGAGCATTTTCTAAACTTCTCCAATATTTACTTTACGAAATATGTAGTAACGCTACGAAGGGACGCGAACGGTATTTCTCGATTATAACAAGCTTATAAAGTAGTAATTGAAAAAATAACCCGAACATTTTTTTTTTCATTGCAGATTTGTACAAGACAAGACGCGGAATAGATATCATCAAGTGGCTATCGAGAAATTCAATTTACTCATCCGTCGTGAAAATGGATCAATTAGCGATGGATCTGAAGTACTACCACGATAAAATCAACGATCCACTGCTCTTCATCGTGATCCAGTCGAGACGAGATTTTCGCCTCTACGCCAACTTGACTCGAAGCCTCAAACCCACCGCCAAAACCTTCCGAGTGATCATGATCTTCGAGAAGGCAGGTCGCATTTGTCACGATCCACCGGGAAATTCGCTGAATCTGGTCTTTGACTCCAAGCTGCTGGTCAAATGCCCCGACTCGGAGATAATTCGAGAATGGTACTCCGTTTATCCGAACAAGACCGAGACCAACGAGCTGGTGAGATGGTACAGAAACGGGGAGCATCGGGGAAACGAGTATTTGACAGATACGTTGTTCAGAGATCGACGACAGGATCTCGGTGGATTGAACATAAGAGTTACTGTTCAAAAGGTACGAGCGTAAATATTGGCCTTCGCACTGGTAGAAACGCTCAACATTAATAATAGCGTAATGACGAAAAAATTTCCATTTCAAATACTTTCAAATATATAGTCATGTACTGGCTTGATTTTTTTATATATTCATTAATACAAGTATATTAAGCGCATTTTAAATGTCCTGAAAATGGCAATTTAACTATTTCAAAAAATTTAAACCAATTTAAATACAACAATATCACTTTGAAACTCCACCACTAGATGGCGAGGTTCATTATCTGTAAATCTGCGAATGATGAAGTAAAAATATTTGTATATATTAATTGAGAATTTCTACGAAGGCAATGTCTACATTTATCGTAGGAACACGCCGACAAAGATGGCAAAATACGAGGAATGTGCTACGATCTGATCACGGAAATCGCCAGACGCATCAATTTCACCATCGATTGGCAGCCCCTGGAATCTAAGGTAGGCACTTACAACCCAAAAACCAATACTACCGACGGTATCCTCGGCAAGCTCGCGTCCAACAAGACGGACATCGGCTTGGGCCTGTTCGGGCTGACGGCCGACCGACTCAAACGCTTCGATTTCTCGATGCCTCTGGTCGAGACGAGAATATCGTATTTCATTAGACGCAGTAACAACAATGTCTACAATTTTATGTCGTATTCGGTGAGTGATCCAAAAAAAATATGATCGATCTGAATAATTCTCAACGATTTGCGTAAAAAAAAAAATCGCAGGCCCTCACACCCGAAGCGGCGATCTCTTGTCACGCTATCATGTTCATTTCGACAATCATCTTGACAATGATAACTCTCACGGATGAGGTGAGATTCTCAAAAAGCATCGTTCGAATTTACATGGATCATTGTTTCGATACGACTGCAATAATTGTTAATGGAAATGTGCAACGTACGTATGCATAGTCACAAATATCATTGATACTTGAACCTGCGTCAATAATTTTTTTAGATAATCCTGTGAGGATACCAGCACGAATAGTTCACCTCATTCTCTTGTTATTATATATATTATTCTTTGCAACGTTTACGGCTCAACTTACGAGCTACAGAGCTGTCTACAAAGCCCCGTTGCCGTCGCTCGATGATATCGCCAATGCTAAATCTCACAAATTATTGACAATGAATAGCGGCATTTACGCTGAAAAATTATTCGTAAGGATGAAAAAATTGATTACTCGAAAAATCATTAGCAATTTTCTTCCCAGTGAATGAACTTTTTTCAAGGCCTCTGAGAGCAAAGCGACTCGGAAGCTGCGAAAACATCTTGTGACAGACTCATCGATGAGGAGACTATATAAAAAAGTAACGTAAACTTTTTTCCCATTCTCAGTTATCCCAAAATTATTAACTCCCTCGTGTTCAAGATGTGTGCCGATGATAGTTCGTATCTTTTGTACATGGACGAGTCGACACTGAATATGAAGCACTTTCTACCACCTCGGAACTGTAAACTAGTGCCGATAAACAGAGGACGAATGATAAACGCGGCTCTCGTTTTTCAAAAGAACAGCCCCTATCTGAATGCCATTAATTTTCAGTTATGTATTTTTCACCCTTGGTAGAAATGCTCAACATTAATAATGGCCCAATGACAAAAAATAACCAATTAAAACGTTCGAAAATACATTCGTATTAATTGGGTTTCTGCTATGAATTATTTTACAAATATTAAGTACATTTTAAATTACCTGAAAATGACAATTTAATAACTATTTCAACAAATTTATCTTAGTTTTCAACTACTATAAATGCCACAATATTACTATAAGTCTCTACGACTAAATGGCGAGTACCTACATTTGTAAATCTGCAAGTGGCAAAGAAATAAAACTGTATAAGTCAGTACACAGTATACAGTACTAAATAACTGAATAAGTCATAGGATTTTGCAAAAACGAAGACAAGATATTTTTTGCACCATTTTTGAAATGTAGAAAATTGAAATTAATTATTGAAAGACTGTTTAGGCATTAATAAATACAAATTTTATACATTCAAAATTAAAAGACAATCATTAAATAGCAAAAAACGTGGGGTACTTTATAAATGTAAAATGTGAAAAAATGATAACGTCACCAATTAATATAGTGCGTCTAGCTTCAATGTCCCTTTTAACATCAAGAAACTTTTTCTTTAGCTGAGAAAAAAGCCACAAAATGTTGAACATTCCTACCAGAGACTCAACTGAAAATTTGTACTATTTATCGTAACTTTTTCTTTCCATTTCAGATTGCAAAAGTTTTATCTTATTGGATTGCTGAGTGCCGTTAAAAAAAAATGGATTTTAATCGGTAGACCCGACGAGGAGGTCGATAATTTTCAGCCTGCAACGATGGAAACCGTGATACAACCGCACCTCATACTGATCTTTGCTATTTTCTTATCGTTTACCATTCTGATGTGCGAGAAGGCCCATCATCGTTTTTTCGCTCGCTAATATTCGTCCAGAACTTCATTCGTACTTAATTTTTTAATAACTTCGAGTTTCTCACACTGTACCGGTTAGATGATAAATACTGTATTATTATTAAGTCTACTTAAGACATATGTAATAAAATGCATATATAAATTCTTATCACTGGTAATATGAAAATTTCATTACCAAGGGTAAATATTTTATAACTTTGAATAATTCGTCGAAAATGTTTAAGCACACAATCGAAGATTTATTTGGGAATGACTTGAGGAGATCCACGTGCTGTTTAGCGTATTTTCGTTTTCTCTTTTTATTGAATAATTAATGTCTCTGTAAACGAATTAGAGACCGACAAAGAATTATTTCTTTTTCTCGGTAACAATACGATCGACAATACCTATTTTTTGTTGGAGACATTGTATTCGTCACGCAATGGATGTAACAATAATGAAAATGTATCATGCACAGTTTTTTCCCGGCACTCATAATTCTATACAGATTACACATTTCTACTCGCTGATTGTCTTATCTGGCAAAGATCATAAAATCGCATTTCGATGTTTATTCTCTTATTAATTCCAAAAATGTAATTGTTTAATTATCTTAAATCGATTTTCAATCTTTCACCGGTGGTGTAATTTTTTAACTTCTCAATTCGAACGACCACGTGGCCATTTTTTCATCTCACACGACTAATTCACTTCATGGATTATTCCCTGGTATAACAAAGGCTTAAGGATCGGCTGACTCGGTACGAGCATATAATGCCATAACCTTCTGATTATTCTTACCTATACCATCTTTATTGTCACACTCATACGCGAATGACGCAATGATTTTTTTCATCATATATTATATACTTGTAATAAAAGCGATTGAATCGCGTGCGGCGCGGCGCAGCTGATCTACATAAATGCATGTAATTTCCTACGCGCGCGTGTTACAATTTTTTTTTATTTTAATTTTTTTTTCTTTCCTTTTTTCTCATTGAAAAATTCTTGGAAAAACGCGTCGAGCGGGGGGAGGGGGGGAGGAGGGGGCAAATTTATTATGTGCAAATCGTACAATTAGCGAATAAATCGAGAATGAATCGGCAGCCAGCGCTGGTTGTATCATGGCACTGCTGCGGTTCATACATCTATGGAATTGCGCTCCTTAAAAGTTGCATTATACACACACACACACACACACACACACACACACACACACACACACACACACATGCGTGGAGCGATCTATTCGGGAAAATCATGCGTAAGTACGCGTACGAGAGATTGCACCGCGATCATCCAGAGACCCGTCATTATTGAATAGCGAGTGTGTGTATACGCATGCGAGTCGGTCGATATTGTGTGTAATGCTTACGCGAGTATGAATGTGAGATTTGTGTAAGTTGAAGTGGATGCAAACCGCGAGAGATAGTCAATTATTCGATCTCGAAACTTCGTATGAAGCTAGGAAAATGGGTATTGACTTCGGTACGCGGATACGTAATTTACTTTACCCTTTCACAAAACTAATGAGAGTTGCAATGTTTTATAAAATAAAGATTAATGAAAAAAAAGTCGAGTTGATGAAAATTCAAATTGATGATAAACCGATTTTTACTCACGTCCATTATTGTAAAAAATTATGATTAGCTGCTTGTCTCGGTTGCCTTGCCGAAATTATCAGAATTCATCAATGCAGCAACAAAACAATCACTCGATATTAACTCATTAACAAATCGAAGTCAGTGTCTTTTCACTTCGGTAATTCATCGTTCGTTGGAGTACAAAATAAAATAAAAAAGAAGAATTTTGTCAAACCGATCTCAACGAAGGTACGGCATAACTAGATGCTGTGCGGTCGTTACGAGGTGCAAGACGCGACTGCGCGTACCGATTGCCGTGTTGAAATGTTATTACCGCCGGCACGCCGGAGCGGACGTTGTTCGCGGTGCGTGCGTTTTATCCTTGATGATACACTCACGAATTCCGAAACAATCGCCAGAGCAATTTCGAGGGTTTTTTTCCCATTTTTTCACTTTTTAGAATGACAAATAAAGTTTGTTAATTAAATAACGATTGAAGTATTCCGAAGTATTTTAGATTATTTATAATTCGTGCACAACGTGTGACCAATATACAATTCCCCCTGTTATCGCGTGTCTCATAAAATTTTTAAGCTCGTCCATTAAATTTTTTTTTAATCAATTACAATTACAATTGATGTCGATAATGCAAAAAAAAATTTGCTCGTTCGTTTTATTTACTCATCGTCGTGATCGAAATTGCGAACCAAATAAGATCTAGATAACGAGCGATTTTTCATCAATAAACTCGACCTTGCGTTCATTATACACAAAAAAGTCGATCGATAAACTTAATGCGACGCGAAAGTCGGAACTGGAGAAAAAGGAAAGGTTTTGGTCAAATACTCTTTCAAAAATGCACTAGTGTCAGCTGAAATGCTCGTTACATAAAACTGAAAAAAATGAATAACTTCCACTATACCGAGAAGTAATTTGCTTACACGCTCCTCTCGCTGTGAAAATTCCTTAAATATCTGTCTTTGACGATCGCAAGTTTGTGAGCTGTGTCACCCTCATGTGACAGCTGCGTTATCTCTCGTGCAGTTGCATCTATCCGAATCTCTTTAATAAAGCAACCGATGCATCAACCGAAGTCGAGAAATTATTGCCCCCGCGTTTTGAGCGATGATCGCCGTCTGCGGCGCAGAAGTTGTGAATATAGTTCGCGCAAAACAATCATCGTAAATGTCACAAACTAGACAATACAGGCCGCGCGAGGAAGTTATACGTGTATAAGCTCGTAATTCAAAGCTATGTGCAGTTGACCGATACATTTTTTGTTTCGGCAGCTCTAAAGCGTAGTTTTCGTTTGGATTTTTCAATTCATTCGAGTACGTCTGGAACTGAAAAAAAATTTCCCTGTCACACCTGCCGCAAAGACGCATGAAAATTTCATAACTACTCGACTTTTTCCATATGCATGTATATCCGCACGTCATTATATATGTGAACGCGTTGAATTATAAATCATGGCCTTGATATGATATTTCGCAATAATTTATTGAATAAGATAGAACAAAAAAAAATCTTTTAGTAAAATAGTCGACGCGCGGCATATGGATTTGCGCGGAGAGAGAGAGATTGTTTATTAAGACGACCCGATGATCATAATTATGACGATGATTACGACTGAGCTTATATCGCTACTGTCATTATTATTGCGACGCCGACCACAAGAATAACATTGGAGTGAACATTTTTTTACGCTTCCAGGAGCAACAATGTCAGTGCCGTTAATGTACTATATTGTTCTGTTTTCATCATAAACGAATTTCACTTCGCGGATTATGCCGTTCATCAATTATTACAGGGTCTACGATGATAAATAAGTTTTACATTGCGATTAGTCGAATAATTTTTCTAAATCATAAAAACAAAGAGTAAAGGTGAACTGAACTGAAGTGAAACTTAATTTGTCTTGAGGGGGGGATTCATTGAAACTGAACGTGCGAGCATTGTTGTAATTGCAGTCACTTACACTCGCTCGAGGTGCATGCTTTCTTGAGCTTCGATGCACAGTTGAACATGGTCGATACGGGCGTTTGATTATATCAAAATTCTATTGATAAAACAACTGTATAATTAAAAAAGGAAACGGAAAAATTTTGAATTATACCAGAACAATTCTAATAGAAATATATTGTTTGAATCTTTCGTCAAATTTATCCATCATACTCAACCATTAATATGAGCATAAATATTGAGTATCGTAAACGCGTAATAATTGCTACGATTGATTCGTGAAAGATTTCTGATATAGAAAAATTAATACAGAACAATATACTAATGTCTTATGCAAATAAGATCGATGATAGTGCATTCGTAATACAATTTAAAGGTTACGTAATAATCCAATACAAGAAATAATTGCATAACAAACCATGTCATCTGTAACAATGCTCCACATTTATTGATTATTTTTGGTCGAAGGCAGGCAATATATCATCAAGGTGTAAAATTCTGTCATCAAAATAGTTGTTAAATACTGACGAATGATATGAAAGATGTTTTTTGTATTCATTTATTTATGATTCATAACAATAATTAATATTAGGCGAGTACTTTTCATGAAAATAGAAAGAGTTTTTCGTATCATACTGCAAATAATAATAATGACTATGACTATATTCAACTATATTCGTTTGAAAATTCGATTTTATTGCAACTATAATCATTTTGATCAACAAAAGAAGTTATTATTACTCCTTAATTTAAAAAAAATGATTCAACAATTGCCTTTTTATCGTTGAAATCAGTAATTCAGCGATAAAGAAATTAATCGACCAGTTCAAGAAAACTACATTTGAAAATTTTTCTACTCCGTCGATAAAATCAACCATCTCGTGGAAACCTGACAGACGGTGTCACCTGGAGATCAAACGTGAAAATATAAACGCGGTAGCGGGACGTTTAAAAACTATTCATCATGACGTTTTAACAATTTACGTAATTTTTTACATAAATTATCTCCAATTTCATTGAAATTTAGATATTACTAATGACACCAGAAATGGTTTGAATAATATCACAATCATTTGCACTAATAGGATAAACCTGTCACTACTCCCTGGTAAAAATGTTCAACAAGAATAATGGCCTAATCGACAAATAATCATTCAATATTTTTTAAAATCCATCATCATTAATTGGCTTGTTTATTTGGCAATTTTTTAAAGCAATCATGCTACAGATATCACGCGCATTTTTACAGACCTAAAAACTGACTATGTATCTATTATCAAAAATTTAGACCAGTTTTTAACCACTTCGAATAAGGTAACACGACTTTGAGCCTTCACCACTAGATAGCAAGTACCTTTATTTGTAAATCTGCAAGAGGGAAAGTGAAAATAATAGCATAATAAGACACAAGTCATCGTAATATACATAAATATATGAGCTATTCCTGAATTTATTTTCGAATTTTTTGACTAAAAACGGAACAATTTTTTTTTCGTTGGACGCATACTATGAACATTGGGTATTGTTATTGCAGATCGTAAGAAGCTGAAAAAATGCGTGAACATGAGATTTAAAGATAGGTAATTTTTTTCTGGCTACTTTTGTGTTTTAGGGCCCCGAAAAGTCACGCTTTCGCGTAAATACGACAATTCACTCTATTTCTAAGTGGCTGAAAAAGTATCAAAACTCATTTAAAAAGAGTGACTGACTACTCCATTCGATAGGAAATTTTCTCAGCTTTCCAATAGTAGTATTAGATTTTTCGATACATTGCATATTCACCGAGAAAATCACCGACAAACATGCCGTTCTAAGTATCTAGAACAAGTGAGTACGGAATAAGTGCTTTTTATGGCTTATTTTTGATTTTTTCTTATGAAAATTGAATATTTCGGAAAATCTGATACCACCATCGGAAAGCTGAGAAAATTTCCTATCGAAAGTATATCTTTATTTATTTTTTGAGTCGAATAATGAGCGAGTTTTGTTTGTAGCGAGCCACACAACGCTGAAAACTTCGCGACCGCGATTAAAACAGCTCGGGAACAGAAAACAGCAAACACAGTAAAAGAAACTCGCTTGTATATCATTGTAATTCGACGGAAAAAATAAATAAAGATGTGGTTGCGATAGGAAAGTTCCTCAGTTTTCCAATGGTGGTATCAGATTTTCCGAAATATTCAATTTTCATAAGAAAAAATCAAAAATAAGCCATAAAAAGCACTTATTCCGTACTCACTTGTTCTAGATACTTAGAACGGCATGTTTGTCGGTGATTTTCTCGGTGAATATGCAATGTATCGAAAAATCTAATACTACTATTGGAAAGCTGAGAAAATTTCCTATCGAATGGAGTAGTCAGTCACTCTTTTTAAATGAGTTTTGATACTTTTTCAGCCACTTAGAAATAGAGTGAATTGTCGTATTTACGCGAAAGCGTGACTTTTCGGGGCCCTAAAACACAAAAGTAGCCAGAAAAAAATTACCTATCTTTAAATCTCATGTTCACGCATTTTTTCAGCTTCTTACGATCTGCAATAACAATACCCAATGTTCATAGTATGCGTCCAACGAAAAAAAAAATTGTTCCGTTTTTAGTCAAAAATTTCGAAACTAAATTCCGGAATTGCTCATATATGGTAATATATGTAGTAGTGATAGCCATATAGTGGACAGGCATAGGCTATAGGCTATAGCTGCAAATAATAAACAAAAAATTAAAATTTTGAGGTATGGTGCAATCATTCAAAATGAATTCAATGCTCTTGGAAAACAGATCATGTTTAAATGGTAACTCGCACGAATTATTAATCGTAAAAAAATCAATGGGCTATTTAACCGAATAATCCAGTATTCAACTAAGACAGAGTTATAAATTGAATAAAAATAAAGGGTTATAATTTGTTAGTGCAACTATAAATTTTTACTGAAAATATAATACATAAAGGAGTAAAAAAATTGCATCAAAATTGTAATTTAATTACCACTTATTTAAATAACTCGTGGTGGTTAGGCACTAACAAATATTTAGCGTGACACATTAAAATGGGTTGCATTCGCATATAAAATTTAAAAGTCATTGCTTGTTCAAACGTTATTTGTTGTTACCTTGAATGATTTTCCACGTCTATTGACATCTAGAATATCCGAAAACTTTTCGACGAAATCGTATCGACTACGTGTTTCCTACTCGTGACGTAATCTCGACAGGCGCTTCGCATTCTCGGCTATTCATAATCGCGTGGACTTCGATAGTCTCTAAGTGTAAGTGCACAAAGTTAACGAATAGTTTATATTATCATGAAAGAATTTAGTCCAATAAGTTTCGTAATATTTTCCTGTTTACTCCAAGTCAATACATACCGTATCCGCGGGGCGAACGAGAAGAGTTTTGTAAAACTAAAATCCAAGTCGGAGCTAGCCAAAGCCGACACGGAATTTGATCCTCTGGAAAACATCGACCCAGAAGTGGATTGCGTACGTAGATACATTGATTTCGTGTGCATTGCATAAGTCGTAGTCAAAGGACAAATTTCTTTTTCGTTTGCGCACACAGTATTATCTCATCAAAAATCGGAATTACACCGTGGAAAAACATGTCATTACGACAGACGGCTACAGAATAGCCATCTACCGAATACCGAGCAGCCCGAAAAAACCCAGCGTGAAGCGGCTTCCTGTTGTCATGCAGCACGGTTTGCTCATGTCGTGCTTTGAGTGGATTTTTGCTGGGCCGAGACACGATTTAGGTTGGGCTCGATCGATGTACGCATTTTTCTTCAAAAATTTCACTTTGTATCAACTAAAGGCTTTCGTTTTTGAATAGCTTTCATGCTCGCTGACCTTGGCCACGATGTGTGGATTACCAACATAAGAGGTACGGTCTTCGGCCGATCGCATCTCACTCTGTCGCCCGATCACGATCCTGAATTTTGGGAATTCAGGTAATTATCGCGATTTGGAGCTTACGAAAATTCTTGTAAAATTGCGTTTTCGTACAGCTATCACGAAATGGCCACCGTAGACATGGCCAATATAATCGACTACGTTTTGGATGTGACGAATCAGAAGCAAATCATGTATGTGGGTCACTCCATGGGTACTTCCATCAGTTACATTTTACTGTCGACCAAGCCGGAGTACAATGAAAAAATAAAACTCGTCGTCAGCTTTACCCCCGTGGCTTATTGGTACGATCCGCAGGCGAGTTTCATCGGCAATATGAAGCCGCTTTTAAAGCCGTGTATGGTAAGGTAAAAATTCAAGACGATAGTGTTTATTTACTGCGATGAAAATTCATGAAAAATATTTAGAGATTTTTAGAAAGTACCAGAATGCACGAAATCTTGCCGGTATCGACGGCTTTGAGCAACATGTTAAACATTTTGTGCGACAATCGAGATACGATATACAAAGAATTATGTCAGTACTTGATTTTTTTCTCGTTTGGCTATAATCCTGACCAAGTGCCCGAGACGGTATAGTTTTATCTTAAAACAAATTTTAATGTTAAAATTCTTTTAGTCATCGATCGTTCTTTGAATTGCAGCCGAATGTTGTTAAATTCTTCAGATATTTTCCTGCAGGAGCTTCAAGGCAAACGTTGAAACATTTTACTCAAAACATTCTAGAAGGTATTTGTGTTGATTAGAAATTCATTAGTACGAAATTAGTTTATATTGTCAAAAAACCATGTTTCAGGTGAGTTCAGACCAATAGATTTCGGCCCCGAGAAAAATATGATAAAGTATGGAACCCCAGATGCCCGTCCGTACAATCTGAAAAAAATATCTGCACCTGTAGCATTATTTTACGGATACGGAGATACTTTGATAGCTCCCCATGTAAGAAATTCAAATTATTTTTCGATCGTTTTTCTTGAATTTGAAGCACAAAAATTACTGATTTTACAGAATGTTGTTTATTTGTCAAAAGTCTTACCTAACGTGGAAGTGATCGAAGCTGTTCCCCACGAAAGATTCAATCATTTCGATTTTGTCATCGCCAGAGATGTTAAAAAGCTTCTCTATGATCGAGTCATGGAGGTTATGGCTAGATACTATTAAAAATTGTTAATGCAAAAACTTTGAATAACTTCTCATCAAGTTCAAGTATATATAGCATCATACAGAGATCAGACTGAAAATAATAATTTTTAATGTTTTTTTTTTTATAACTCAAACGTAATACAATTTTTGTCGACTTTATCAGTTGAATTGTAGGAAGAATTTTTTACTGTTGAATCAAACTTGCCAACCCTATTTTTCATCCGTACCTTGGTAGAAAGGCTCAAAATAAATGATCAAAACATAAATATATTTAAATGTATTGCGATTTGATTAATTTTTCTGATATACTTAATTATGTAACAAATATTAAATCCATTTTAAATGACCTGAGAATGACGATTAAATTGTTTTAAAATAATTAGATCAGTTTTCGACACCACTTGGCAGTTTAAGGTAATATCAGTTTAAGCATCCACCGTTAGATGGCGAGTACCTTTATCTGTAAAAATGCAAGTGACAAAATCCAAATATTTGTATAAGTCAGAGCAAGGTTCTTAACGTTCGAAAACATCTTTGGCTCTAAGCCATGCTTGCGAAACAGATGTTGCTCCAGTTTGGCCATTGTCTCCTTTCCTTTCTTTATACGGTGTTCGTCCTGACGCTGTCTGTTGGCATCCTGCTTCGTACTAGAGTTCTTTGCATTACCTTTAAAAGGTTGCTTTCCTCTAGTATTTCCACTAGGATCAGTAGGTAAGCCTTCATTTTTAGCATCTCTATCATTTGATTGGTCTGCCATAGTTGAAGTCTCGAGCTGGAATCCACTCAAATAAACCAAAGTTTAATGAGCAAAAATTTTATGGAGGGATTTAACCTGGAGTTATAAAGCAAAAGGTGCATATTACTCTTATACCAAAGAACTCAAATGGTAATACTGGCTATACTAAAGTCAATGCAAATATTTATTACCCAAAATAAATGCCGTGCACTTAAATAATAAAGTAAAGATGGTAATATGCACAATTTTATATGATTCAAAGATTGTCATTGATTTGAAAAAAAAAACTGGTAAAATTATAAGGCCAATTTATAAAAGAGGGTTATTACAGTTCAAAAAAAAATTAAACTTTTGCATTATTGTGTATATGTCTAAGAAAATTTTTCGTTGATCAAACTACCCATGAAATATTTAGCACTGCTACCAATGTAAAGTCACATTTCATTTTGATTCTCGATATTGACAATGAATCGTAAAATGATTTCACCAATAACGTTAGCTAATACTTAATTATGAACCAAAATTAAATACTTTACTTAATGAGATGCGAGCGACATTGTTTGAAGCAGTGAAATGATTTGATCGTCGTGACATTGTGCCTACGAGATGTATCCTTCACAGCCGTGGCCGAAAAAAGCAAAGTGCTACTTCGCGAAGCTATTCTAAACTCGTAGCAGCAAGTGACTTATACTTCAGCGAGCGTAAAAGTATATGCAATCGAAGTCGACATTGATCGACGCGTTAGCAGTGATACTGTGTAGTTCTAAACACTGTACAGATAGCATTAGGTCACGGCAATAGCGACACTTTGGATCTCTCTCTCGGCCGCGGCCCACGCGTTGCCTGCACCGACGAGAACACAAACGAGCTCCGCGAATTTAAAATTCCTTGTTGAGATTTAATTCTATATTCACTTTTAGTAAGGATATCTTCGACCGGGGGGGTTTGAAGTCTTCAATGTAACGAGTACATGTTTTATTTCAACTGGGCTACTTAGGTATCCCGAAAAACTAGTTAAGTATATTATATATTTTATCGCTAACAGTGTATAAAATATTGTACAGCTAACATAGCGGTTGGAGAAGCACAATGGATCGCGAGTCTAAACATTGACTAAAATATTTTTTTAAAATAATATCATGGACTTTTACGAAGTTGTAAGCCAAGGAAATTCGATGTATGTTATTTTTCTTTGTCCAATAAATGCTCGCTTAGATACGTATTATTTAGCTATATTTTCATATACTGAATGCCTCAAATAAATAATGTATAAAATACCATTACATGCATTTGGACTAGTATATCTTTAATTATAAATCAACTTAGAGTAATACTATAAACCCCTCTTTTGAATATTTAAGGCACAAAAAGGTAACTTTTATACTACGATTCGTATAAAAAATTCAAAGCTATATAATATACTCCTCATATTTGAATTTTTTTTATTACAAATAAACTACGCATAAGTTCTTTACACGTAGACTGAATTTATTGAACATGTTGAATTACGACCCAATTAAATCGTCAGATAAATTCAAAACAATTAGTGAGTCAGATATCGAAAAGTGTGCGGTAGAAAGATTTCCCATGATGGTAATCCTCATGAAATTATCATTCATGTAGCCTTACACGAAAAAAATTAAATTGGCAGTTTTATCCATCTTACTTTGCGTATCACTTCTTTTTGGGACGGTAATATTTTTTATGCAATAGTATGACGAAAAATGTCTTTTTTAACACTGCGTGCGCGAAACACGGGCTTTCTAACCTTAAAGCGTCAGAAAACCCTAGTTTCTCGCAAGCAGAGCTAAAAAATATCGTTTGCAACTAGTCCGCGAGGAAGTTGACTCACCCAGGAGTCTTTGCACCCTCGCTACGCTCGGGTGAAAACGACTCCTGGGTGAGTCAACTGCTTCGCGCACTTGTTACAAAATATACTATTTTCGCACATTTTTTAGTGCGCAAAAAGCGTTTTTGGACACTTGTGTGCGGTAAAATGCCTCATTTTGGACACGGGTGTGCGGTAAAACGCCTCATTTAAATGAAAGTATTTTTCGTCTCCTATTGCATAAAATTTTGTATGCAACGCGTGCCCAGCTTTTTGCGCACAGTGTGCGGAAAAAACATCCACTCGTGCCGGCATAGCCGGCATTCGTGTCCTTTTCCGCACACTCGTGCCCAAAAACGCATTTTGGGCACTTGTAACATAAATAACTATTCTATAATTTTGAAAAACATGAAAATATTTTTTTTATAAATCTATGATTTATATTGAAACCTAAAGGTATGAATTAAAATATTTACAGACGATTCGTTTATTAGAGGAAATCAACAAAGATAAATTGAATATCAATATCGTTGCCGAAGGTTTTCTACATTTCATAACATTTTCTTTCATTGTCTATGCCATTCATTGGTTCATTTTTGACAAACGAGGTTCTGCAATGGTGAAGAAAATATTGAAAAATGTACTAAATAAAGTTGTAAAATTTACATAATTATTTATTTAATTCATCGAGGTACAAAATATGTGCGTGACTCTTGCAACTCATTGGATTCAATCCAGTTCCGAGGAGAAAGATTTTTTACAGAAATATGTAGATACATCAAATTTGATAGCTAGTATAGCGACTGGTATATTTTAATAGTACAAAAAAATGGTCAAAAAAAAAAGTAATAACGCAGAACTTTTTTTCAAAGCTCTTATCTGCGTAAGTTATAACTCATACGTAGCAGGTCCAGTTTTGGGTCCATTGGCAGCAAAAAAATTTTTCCCAGGAAATCAAACGTATCCAAGAAAGATGGCAATAAATTTTGAATTTTTTATCGACGAGAACAAATATTTCAATTGTCTTTTTACTTATGAGATGGTGGTGGTGTTAATAATGCAAATAGTAATAGCAACTTTGAACTGCATGTACATATGTCCATGTTACTTAGCGATAGGAAAATTTGATTACCTAGGGTAATATTGAAAAGGCCAAATTAATTTCAAGTATATTTTATTCGTATTTGCATTCAAAATTGTTGTTCTTGAATCAGATTCAAGTTAGAGCAAATATCGGACTCTTTTGAACAAAGCGTTATCTTGAAGAAACAACGTAAAATTAACGTTTACAACAGTATCTCTAATTTAGTCAAGCTCCATCAACTTTGTTTACAGTTGAGTTATTGTAAATAGTATTTTTGTTAATATTTTAGAACAAAGATTTATTTATTTTCAGTTACGTCGAAGCCATGGATAACGTGGCCAGTGATCTGTTTTTCATGGGAATATTCGGGGTGATCATCGGCAGCAGCATTACCGGTTGTTTGGTAAATTTCAAGTCGATTTTCATACCTAATGAATAACGTAAGATGTGCAAACAATTAACGATGGATTGTCTACATTATTTCGTAGATGGTCATTCAATTTCGAAACGATGTTAATTTTGCGATAAACATGGGCTTCGCTTACTTAATGGCTATGCAGTTTTTATTTATAGGAAGTTATCCGTCTCAAAGAATTTATACATCTAGTCTCGATATCTACAATAAGTGGTAATTATCGCATCTACTTAGCTGGTTCGCTATTTTTCATCTTCAGTAAATTGAAACATACAAATACATCACGTTCGCATGGTCAATAGTTATTCCACCGAATGGTATAAGTACTCAGTGAAAACAAGAAAACTTCTTCAAGTGATGATGATGAGAGCTCTCACTCCCAGCTGCGTGAAAATAGGTCCCACCCATCCTCTTAATTTTGAATCAAGTGGAAAGGTAAAATATTTAATGAGGTTTCATCATAAATACTCCTTTCTAAATAAATTACCAACTCACTTCATTAAAAATTGCAGGTTGTCCGACTATCTTTTTCTTATATTACTGCATTGATATCGATGATGAACCTTAATTAATGCCCAAAACTAGCCCTTTCAGCGCACAAACTGGGTACTCGATCAAGTTAAAAATTTGAAAACTCGCATTTTTATGCATCACACGTCACCTACCTGATTCAACGACGAATTGCGGAAAAATTTACGTTCCAATATGTATTTTCTTTTTTTTTTCAAGTTCATTTTAAGGGCTCCACAGTTTGTAAATTAACTCTTTAGCTGAACTTAATATTCGGTTAAAGGGGAGCTTTATTTGACTCTGAGAAGCCCGTAAAATGGCCTTGAAAAAAAAAAACAAAATACATAATTCAAAAAAATTTTCCGCTCTTTTCAAATCTGCAATAAAAAATGGAAATTTCCATTTAAAAAATCAATTTTAGGTTTGCTGTAGCTTAGAGGTTATGTTGAAGGTGAAATCCAAGGTCACCATTGGATTCCCCGTGAAAAAATATGTCGGATATGAGTTTTTTGTTTTTTTTTTCTCCCACTGATTGATTGAGATTTCCAGGGGTTTCCATATTTATTCCCCACCTTGTATACCGTAATTTGACTCTTACAAATTAATACTTTCAGATTTACAGATGATGATACTTGCCATCTAGTGGTAAAGTATTTAAAATGATTGAAAACTGCTCTACATACAAAAATGAGTAAACAATGAATTTCTTATTTTTAGGTGAAATAAAAAGCGCTGTATATTTGTAACATAATTGGAATAAAAAAATAGCCAAGAACAAGAAAATAAATTGTTATTTGAGGTTGTATCAAAAACATTTTTCACAATATTGATATACCTTTAAAATTGACTCAATTAAACCAAAAGATTTAATTTATGAAACCGGACAATTAATACAAAGTAGTATATAAATCCAGTCAATTTACAAATCGTTAACCAATTTAAGTGTGCGATGTTTTTAAAACTCTCTAGTGTTTTGTGTGCGACCTTCTCTTCACGTGAAAAAAATTTACGTTCAACATTTTTAGAACAAAGACAAAAGTAAACAATTTTTACTTGATTCGTATACAAAACTGAATATACATTTTTAATCAACTTTTCGTAAAACTTTCATACATATTTTCTGAAAATAAATGTAAGGTACAAATTTTTAAGTTAAATTTAATTATGAAAGTTAGATAATGAAAAACGTTGAATTTACCACTAATTTTTCGTAAACTGTGCTAAAAAATTTTAGTAGATGCAATGTGAGACCGCAATGAACTTATCAACGAAAAAATATATTTCATTATAAGCGATAATACAGAATTCCCTGAGGAGTTTACATTAATAAATGATTTTATTATTTTAGGTGGTTAATCTAATGTATTGTAAATGACTTTTTCTGGAAATTTTCAGGTAAAATATGAGCTAGGTACATGAATTATGATCCGAAATAAAATATTTTTGTACAATATGCTCAATTAGTGATGTATGACTTATTTACATTTCTATATGCACTCACTGTGGATTTCTCTAATAAATATTGTATAAAATAACATTACATGAATTTCAAAGTATGAAGCTTAAATTATAAATAAACTTCAAGTAATTCTAGGGAACTTTTTTTTCAAATAAATTATATGCATTAGTTCTTAAAGCGTTTACCAAATGTATTGTACCTCATTTCTTACTTTATTTGTATCCTTTTTATGAGAAAATCATGTAGAATTATGTCCCACTTAATTCGGCAAATAATTTCAAAACAAAAGAACCAGACCGCAAAATTGAAATTAGTGAGTCATATATCGAAAAGTTTGCAGTAGACAAATTTCCACTGCTAGTATTTTTCATGAAAGCTTCATTTATGTGGCCTTATACGATAGAGAAAAAAAGATTCAAAATGGCAGTATTAACCTTTTCACTTTGCTTATCACTGCTGCTAGGCACGGTAATATATGAACTAAATTGATAAAATCATAACGGTATTTCTATCGTAAGATAACCTACCCAGTGAAAGACCGCCTTGCAAAATATTCTATGCAAAATAATTAAAAATGGATTTGTGTGGGTTATTGAATTTATTAGCAAACGCTGCATATTTTTTGTCATGTCCGATTATTATATAAAAACTTGTAAATTCAAAATGAATATATCTTAGCCCCATCGCAAAAACCGTCTTAATAAATTCGAAAGGCAAAAACGTGTCTTAGCTCTATCTTTTTAACAGAGGGCTGAGACACGTTTTTGCCTCTCGAATTTATTAAGATGGTTCTTGCGCTGGGTCGACGATATGGCCTTTTACTGATTGAAAGCGGTCAATCGCTGGGTAAAGTACCCTAAATGTATAGTTAATATTAAACCTTAAAGGTATGAATTAAAATATTTGCAGTTGATTCGTTTAATAGAGGAAATCAACATGGACCAATTAGATATCAATACTATTGGTGAAGGTTTTCTACACTTTATTACATTTTCTTTTATTGTATACGCCATTCATTTGTTTACATTTGACAAAAGAGGTTCTGCAATGGTAATCAATGTCATGAGATTTGCTGTATCTAATTGTCAATTTTACATATTTTTTTATAATATTTATCAAGGTAAAAAATATGTGCGAGACTATCGTAACTCATTGGGTTCAATCCAGTTCGGAAGAGCAAGAGTTTTTACAGAAATAAATTGATACATCGAATTTCATAAATAATATAGCAACTGGTAGACTCAAATAATACAAATAATTTCCAAAATAGTATATTTTGTAACAAGTGCGCGAAGCAGTTGACTCATCCAGGAGTTGTTTTCACCCGAGCGTAGCGAGGGTGCAAAGACTCCTGGGTGAGTCAACTTCCTCGCGGACTAGTTGCAAACGATATTTTTTAACTCTGCTTGCGAGAAACTAGGGTTTTCTGACGATTTAAGGTTAGAAAGCCCGTGTTTCGCGCACGCAGTGTTAAAAAAATAATTATACTATACATTTTTTCCACAGTTCTTATTTGCGTGAGTTACACCTCATACGTAGCAGGTCCAGTTTTAGGTCCATTGGCAGCAAATAAATTTTTACCGGGAAATCAAACCTATCCGAGGAAGATGGCTATAAATTTTGAATTTTTCATTAACGAGGACAAATATTTCTATTGTCTTTTTGGTTATGTTATGGTGGTAATATTAATAATGCAAATAGTGATAGCAACTTTAAGTTGCATGTACATAAATCCATGTTATTTGGCAATAGGAAAATTTGATTACATAGGGTAATAATAAAAAGTAGGGAAAACTTGAATCAAAATTGTCAACCTTAAATCAGATTCCAATTACAGAAAATATTCGATTCTTATAAACAGAGTGATATCTTGAAAGAACAAGATAACATAGACGTTTACAACAATATCTCTAATCTAGTCAGGCTACATCAATTTTGTATAAAGTTGAGCTATGGAAAATGAACATTTTTCATTTAACACATCAATTTTCTTCTACAATAAAACCTTCTTCATTTTCAGTACCGTTGAATCCATGAATAATGTGTCCAAGGGTCTTTTTTTCGTTGGAATATTTATTGTGATTGTCGGCAGCAGCATAACTGGTTGTTTGGTAAACTTCAATTGTTTTTTTCAAGCTAGTTAATTAACTTACTGATACATAAGAAAAAAATTCACTGTTTACGTTTTTGCTTAGATGGTTATTCGATTCGGAAGCGATATAAATTTCGCAATAAATATGGGTTTCGCGTACATTATGACTATGCAGTTTTTATTTATTGGAAGTTATCCGTCTCAGAGAATATATAATTCAAGTAATGATATCTGCAATAAGTGGTGACTAATTTTTCTCCTCATTAAATTGGAACTTATTAGTAAGTAACATTTTCGTATCAAATAGTTATTTCAACGGATGGTATAAGTATTCAGTTAAAACAAGAAAATTGCTGCAAATAATGATGATGAGAACCCTCAACCCTAGCTGTGTGAAAATAGGTCCGACTCATCCTTTAAATTTTGAAACGAGTGGAAAAGTGAGAATGAACCCTCGGATAAAAAAACACATCAGCACACAGAGTGCTGCACCTCGTTTATAAAATTTCATAAAATTCTGTGTGATGCAGTGTTGTTTTCAGTGCACCACTTCCCAAATGAATTACTAATTCGCATTTTTATGAATTGCAGATTGTCGGCCTATCTTTTTCTTATATTACTGCATTAATGTCTATGATGAATCTAAATTGATAATGCATTAATTATCATAATTTATTCTTTAACAAGATATATTTTTTATTGTGCCATTCGTCAAATTAAAAAAGACATTTTAAGTTAAAATTGATATCCTTATAAACTTTGCACACAATAACGAGCCGATTTAACTTATAAAACCGACAGCATTAAAGGCAAAGTAATGTCTCAACCCAGTGACCTTAGCAAATCGTCGATGCGAATTAGAGTGCAGGACGCGCGATGTTTGTAAGACTCTCTGGCGTTTCGTGTAAGACCCATCCTTCTCGCGTGCTGCTAGCAGCAGCAGAGGAACTTGGCTTACCGCCCGGTCGGGTAATTTAGCCTCCATACACATCGCTAAGACTAATTGGATTTTTGCACCGAGCTCGTTAATCGTTTTCCCCTCCCGCGCGCGCGCGCGACGTTTCCGAGCTTGCATGTGTGAGCGCACTTGTGTCTTGGAATTGAACTCATTATGTGCGCCCGTGTGTGTGCGTTGGCAAACTGTTTCGATGCATCGCTTCGAGAGGAGGGGAAAAAAGAAACCACCTTTTTTTTCTAATAATACTTCAAGATCGCTCGTGTGCGCACGGGTCATGAGAAATGTGTAGCATAATATGTTTATCATATATTGAATAAGTTTAATGAGCGCCGCGTGCTGATAGAGAGCTGCGAATGAAAGAAAAAAAAATGTTTATCCATGACCCTGCGAGGGCAATTCGACTTCAATAATATCGAATGAATTTCGCTTTGTTATCGCGTATAAATTCTCCGGCTCTGAATTTATTAACAATTCAACTCTTATTTTTGTGCATTATATATGGCCGATTCTCTGTCAAATGAAAAAAGCTGTGACGTTTTTTTCTACTGGCATCATTAAAATTGGCTCTTTAATAAGCAATACCCCTCAAATTTA